AGCACGTGTGTCTCACTCGTCAACTTGTTCGTATTTTAAGCCATGTTTAATATGTATCAACGTGCCATGGGACGGGTGTAATGTCGTTTGTGAGGTGGTATCTCAGACTTATAAGCTTTCTATTGTTCTATTGTTTTTACAGGTCCTTGATAATGTGAGAAATCACGACAACGATTTGAACTTCGCTATTTTTTCACAGTGGTTGTTTTGCATATTGTGATATCACCTGTTTAGAAATAATACAAAGGCACAATACTGCACATAGGAGAGAGGACGAGCTGACGACGACATATCGGTCCTACTTAAACCATTTACAAAGTCACACTAACAGAATAAGAGTGAGAAAGCCAGTATATACAGGCGAGAGGAACAAGAGAGGGAGAAAAGGGAGTAGTGGTAGGTAGTGCAAGTAGTAGTGGAAGAAATAGTGGTAGTAGAAAGTAGGGAGAGTAGTAGCAAAAGAGAGAAGAAAGGGAGAGTGAAGGGTGGCAGAAGTAAAAGCAATAGCAATGGTAGAGGAATGAGGGGAAGAGAACTAACTGGAAGAGAAGAGGGGTCAGTCTAAGGACAAGAAAAAGGAGCACTGTAAGAGAGATAAGGACCCGCAAGGGATAAGACTAAACGCAGTGGGGAAAAAAACTGACTAACAGAACTCAATAGGCCAAAGGAAAAAAATAGGAAAGGAATAAAAGAAAGGATCATGTTAGTCATGTGTGTTGTGAAGTTTGGATCATTTGACAATGTAATGAGAAATCAAGGCATCTACAGAGACAAAGCCAAGACTAAGATTCATACAAGAAAAGTTGTGTTAAAGTGACACTTGTGATGAATGGTTTGAAAAACCGACAAGTTGAAGATTGAGACACTTTTGCACTTACTCCTTTCTACTTTGTATCGGACTGATGAAGCCACTGTGTGGCGAAACGTTTCCTGAATAAAGATTCCCATATGTTGCATAAGTGTCTCAATCTTCAAGTGATACCTCAACAAGACGGCGACTGTGAAAGCTTCTATAGGGTAGACAGTCAATAGGATGACTTAGATCTCTAACATGACAGAAAAGAATATTATTGGTGTGGACATTCCTAACACTACGTTTGTGTTCCTTGAGTCTTGTCAGAGAGTATCGTCGTAAACTCCTCCTCTCTCTCCTATGTGTGGGCTATTTGTGTATCACCTGTTTACTCGAATGATTAGGTAAGGTTTACCAGGAAACACGACAAGCGTTTTGTTACGCGGGTCTTAGTCATGTGATGACCCACAGCTGGACCTTTTGGTCATCTGATCGAGGCCTTCCGCTAGCTTATCGGTCCACCCCTTTAAAAATTAATGGTTATTATCATAACCACATATTTACTGTGATCTTGTTGCAAGTATCAACGTCTAACTGAGGAATGATGAAGAATGAGTAATGCTAGAATAAAAGGCACAATGCCATGGGTGGGACAATGTCAACTAGCCTTCATTGTGGAGGAATCTTGAAACGACGTTTTGGCCCATTTAGGACCATTAATATAATGGTCCTCTCCCCCAGGATGCCACCCACAACAGTCGACTAGCACCAAGGTACCTATTTACCGCTAGGTGAACAGGAACGACAAGCGTAAGGTGACTAATACCCAGGTTACCAAACCATACCACGGGCGGGATTGAACCCGCGGTCAGAGAGTCTCAAAACTCCAGCCCGTCGCGTTAGCCACTGGACTAGCTAGCCACAATAAGATTCATCCAGCTAGGTATATTTCTACACCACAGGAAGGTTAGCACAGGCACCACTGTGACCACAAATGCAAGTTTTTACAGACGAATCTCCAGCTAGCGTGGCCGTGACGAACTCTAGTTGGAGATTCGTCTGTAAAAACTTGCATTTGTGGTCACAGTGGTGCCTATGCTAACCTTCCTGTGGTGTAGAAATATACCTAGTTGGATGAATCTTATTGTGGCTAGCTGGTCCAGTGGCTAACGCGACGGTCTGGAGTTTTGAGACTCTCTGACCGCGGGTTCAATCCCGCCAGTGGTATGGTTTGTTTGCAATCGTGTCATTACGATTTCGTGAGTCACCCAGGTTATCGCTAGGTGAACAGAGGCAATAGGCGTTAGACGACTTGTCGAGGTGCCCCCGCCCAGGATTGATCCCGAGCTCTTGAGTTGTGAGCTGCTGGTCACTTTAGGCTCGTCCCCAGCGTCTGTGCATTAGCATCAATAATGCCAGGCACATAGCCAGTGGCTCACTTTAGGCTCGTCCCCAGCATCTGTGCATTACCATCAACAATGCCAAGCATATGCAAATTGGAGATATGCAAATCTGTTTCGAGACTGGATTCAGAGAGACCAGAGGCTATAAGACAGGGAGATGCTATCCTAATTGAGATGGAGAACTCCTTCACTGTGAATTAGACAGTGAGGCGTTGACTAATTATAGATGGAAATGTATAATAGGTCAGTGCTTGTTACACTTCGGCGCTGAATGCAATGCTTGCAAAGGTGCTAGGATGGTAGACAGCAGCCGTCCAAGGAGGTACTACCTTCCTATCATGTCATTGTGAAAATAAGGAGTAGGTTGGTAGACAGCAGCCGTCCAGGGAGGTACTACCATCCTGTCATATCAGTGTGAACATAGGAAGTGGGTTCGTAGAAAACAGCCGTCCAGAAAGGTACTACCCTCCTGTCATGTCAGTGTGAACATAGGCAGTGGGCCGGTAGATAGCAGTCGTCCAGAGAGGTACTACCCTCCTGTCATGTCAGTATGAACATAGGCAGTGGGTTGGTAGACAGCAGCCGTCCAGAAAGGTACTACCCTCCTGTCATGTCAGTGTGAACATAGGCAGTGGGTCGATAGACAGCAGCCGTCCAGGAAGATACTGCCCTCCTGTCATATCAGTGTGAACATAGGCAGTAGGTTGGTAGACAGCAGCCATCAAGAAAGGAACAGCCTTCCTGTCACATGAGTGTGAAACACACACCCCAAGTGTATACAGAGAAAGGAGAGAATCAACCATTACCGTAGACAAGGAGAGAATCAACCATTACCGTAGACAAGGAGAGAATCAACCATTACCGTAGACAAGGAGAGAATCAACCATTACCGTAGACAAGGAGAGAATCAACCATTACGGTAGACAATGTAAGTGCTACTGTCAGAGGATAAAGAACTCTTGTCATCTTTGGAGATTACTATCACAGCACTTACCAAAAATCCCCACCGTGAGCGCATTATTCAAGCTTCCAGCTTAGTCTTGTCCCGCTCATCAACATCACAAAATGGCACATCAAAGCTTCGTGGACACGACATTTATTAAATTCTTCACTCACTTAGATATTTAATACTAAGTGAAATATTTCATTTTATATGCTACGTCTCATCCTACTGCCTATCTTTCCGATATTAGGCTGGGATCAGCCTAACTCACATAAAAATAACGAGGTATTTTGAAGCCAGTGACAGGGCTTTATATCTTATGAATTTGAGACTACAATTCCTTTGTGTCAGTCCTAATTACTTTCTGGTCATCAGGAAAATGTCTATTCATACAATGAACCAACAGAAACAGTCAGCCTCCAACTGCACTGGCTACGGTTGGTTGGTTGTTTAGTGGTTCCAATACAAGATGTAGAATATTGAAATAGAAATCTGAATTTACAATAGTTACGCGAAATATATTCTTTTTTTTTTTCTGGCAGTCGTGGGATATACTTTTGTTAAGCCATGGGTGAATAGTGATGCCTCGGGATACGAACTTAACTCGTTCCAGAAAGCTGTTTGAGTGCCGATACCGAACGAATTTGTTCCCATAAGGAATTATGTAAATTAGATTAGTCCATTTTAGACCCCGAAAAATACATTTACAAAAACACTCACATAAATACACTTACATAATTGTTGGAGCTATGAGCTGTTCGTATCCCGAGGTACGAAGTACTTTTGTTTATAGTCATGGGGAATATATTATCGAAATAAAAGTCAATAATATTTATTAATTATTTCATTAATAGCTTTGAAACCAAGACAATACGAACATTGGCAAAAACGAAATTCTGTACAAACACTGAGAAATTCACATATATACAAATTCAAGCATATAATTTTGTATAAACATCTGTACACAATAATACAAGATACAATACTTGCACAATACAGTCTTGCACAAATATATACTTTCTTAGTAAATGATTCTGTAATTTGAAGTCACCTTAGCGTCACCACTGACGGAGAGACTAATACAAAATATCTTTTTCAAAAATATCTGCATAATTTTGAGTTGTGAGCAGATGCACTGGGTAATGAATTTTTTTCAGGTCATTTTTTTGAGTTGTTTTCAATAACACTCGTTAAGCATGGGTTTAGATATAACAATATATGCAAGACAAGCCACGCAGGGTGGAAATATTTAACTCAAGTACTTTCACATTTCTCAATGCGTCATCAGGAGCTGTGCAATGTTGCAAAGGTAACAACAGGAGATGTAGGGTAAGTTTTCAGAGTGGTAGTGTGGAGGCAACAGCCAGTCTCAGACTCCACACTACCACTCTGAAAACTTACCCTACTCCTCCTGTTGATGTCTTTGCAACATTGCACAGCTCCTGATAACGCATTGAGAAGTGTGAAAGTACTTGAGCTAATGATTTCCACCCCCTTGTGGCTTGTCTTGCATGTATATATATATATATATATTATATATATATATATATTATATATATATATATATATATATATATATATATATATAAAGTAAAAGGACACAAGTGCAACTAATGTGACATTTATTGTGGCAACGTTTCGTGGAGAGCGAAACGTTGCCACAATAAATGTCACATTAGTTGCACTTGTGTCCTTTTACTTTACATATTGTCGGTAATTCTACCAACTTTATTACAATACATATATATATATATATATATATATATATATATATATATATATATATATATATATATATATATATATATATATATATATATATATATATTGAAAAAATTGGACTACTTTTATTTGCCCTTATTAGTCATTATCTTGAGGTTAAAACGGCAGAGGTGATTTTTTCTTATATACTATAACAATAAAACGTCATAATCTTCCTGTGAGTTGTTCGTAATCATGCTTATATCATTTCTTGAGTTGCTGTAATGGTATTTTTTATATAGTTTATGCTCCTCTCGGGCTGTGGTAAACTGTGTTAATTACACGAGCCGGTGAGGATAGTGGAGTCTGCTACGCGATTCTACACAACTCACGGGTTTATATCTGTGTTGGTATACAAGGCACTTGTCATTGGAGGGGTGGTGATGGTGTTGTCTCTCAGGCAGAAGCGGACTGGGTCTTAAAACCGTCCCGGGTATCCATCACCTGTCAGGTCGGTTCATTAATTGCTGAGGGCCAGGGGTATCCTATCACTGCTCAGTTAAGACGCGTTCCATTTTCGTTTCAGTCTTTATGCAGTCTAGCAGCCCAACAGGCACTGGCCAAATGCCCGTACGGATAGTCCGCCTCTACTCGCAAGAAGAGACGTGAGAATTTCTGACGCGCGTGTTAGTCATATATATTAGCCAGCTTAGTGGAGCTTATAGTCACTTAAGCTGTCTTCCGCTAGTTACCGACCCACCCCGAAAAAAATATACCTGTCACGAAAGGCTTTATGAAACCTCTTGTAGATTAAATATTAAAATTTTATTCAGTTTTCCCCATATAACGCAATTTAGAGAAGTTTGATATAACAATTTCTGTTATTTATATGCATATTATAACTAAAATTTCAAATACGTATTTCATTGTAATATATATGCCTTTTTTTAACCATCTGTCGGTTCACAGCCTTCATTCGAGGTCCTAACAATACCGTGGTAACAACCAGACGCAAATAAAGATTACAATTCAGGAGATAAGAGCATCTCAGACGGTGTTCTACGACTCCTTCAGGATGTCTTGAGAGAGTACCAGGTAAGCACCAGCAGGAGGGCCAGAAGTCCCACCTGCAGGAGCAGTAAACTGGATGGTGAGGCTAGACCAGACGCACCTCTGTTAGTCTGCATCGCGGCCGGTGTCTCACCTGCAGAAAATACCATAGTTTACCATCACACTTCGGCACTGATGTGCAAAAACAGCAACATTAGTAAAGTTAGCGAACGGAGGATCGAACTTTCACCACTCTGAGTTGAATGACACGCACACTTACCGATACCCTCTCTCCGGTTAGCCGGACTCGAGTCCTGGAAGTGGAAGGCACATCAATACCCAAAGCCTGTCCCAGAACATTAGCTGCTTGTCCCAGCCACACTCATTTTGTCCCAGCCACACTCATTTTGTCCCAGCCACACTCATTTTGTCCCAGACACACTCATTTTGTCCCAGGCACACTCATTTTGTCCCAGACACACTCATTTTGTCCCAGGCACACTCATTTTGTCCCAGCCACACTCATTTTGTCCCAGACACACTCATTTTGTCCCAGCCACACTCATTTTGTCCCAGACACACTCATTTTGTCCCAGGCACACTCATTTTGTCCCAGACACACTCATTTTGTCCCAGGCACACTCATTTTGTCCCAGACACACTCATTCTGTCCCAGACACACTCATTTTGTCCCAGGCACACTCATTTTGTCCCAGACACACTCATTTTGTCCCAGGCACACTCATTTTGTCCCAGACACACTCATTTTGTTCCAGGCACACTCATTTTGTTCCAGGCACACTCATTTTGTCCCAGACACACTCATTCTGTCCCAGGCACACTCATTTTGTCCCAGACACACTCATTTTGTCCCTGCCACACTCATTTTGTCCCAGCCACACTCATTTTGTTCCAGGCACACTCATTTTGTTCCAGGCACACTCATTTTTGTCCCAGGCACACTCATTTTGTCCAGCCACACTCATTTTGTTCCAGCCACACTCATTTTGTTCCAGCCACACTCATTTTGTCCCAGCCACACTCATTTTGTTCCAGCCACACTCATTTTGTTCCAGCCACACTTATTTTGTTCCAGCCACACTCATTTTGTCCCAGCCACACTCATTTTGTTCCAGCCACACTCATTTTGTTCCAGCCACACTCATTTTGTCCCAGCCACACTCATTTTGTTCCAGCCACACTCATTTTGCTCCAGCCACACTCATTTTGTCCCAGCCACACTCATTTTGTCCCAGACACACTCATTTTGTCCCAGGCACACTCATTTTGTCCCAGCCACACTCATTTTGTTCCAGCCACACTCATTTTGTTCCAGCCACACTCATTTTGTCCCAGCCACACTCATTTTGTCCCAGACACACTCATTTTGTCCCAGGCACACTCATTTTGTCCCAGCCACACTCATTTTGTCCCAGCCACACTCATTTTGTCCCAGCCACACTCATTTTGTCCCAGACACACTCATTTTGTCCCAGGCACACTCATTTTGTCCCAGACACACTCATTTTGTCCCAGGCACACTCATTTTGTCCCAGACACACTCATTTTGTTCCAGGCACACTCATTTTGTTCCAGGCACACTCATTTTGTCCCAGACACACTCATTTTGTCCCAGGCACACTCATTTTGTCCCAGACACACTCATTTTGTCCCTGCCACACTCATTTTGTCCCAGCCACACTCATTTTGTTCCAGGCACACTCATTTTGTTCCAGGCACACTCATTTTGTCCCATGCACACTCATTTTGTCCCAGCCACACTCATTTTGTTCCAGCCACACTCATTTTGTTCCAGCCACACTCATTTTGTCCCAGCCACACTCATTTTGTTCCAGCCACACTCATTTTGTTCCAGCCACACTTATTTTGTTCCAGCCACATCATTTTGTCCCAGCCACACTCATTTTGTTCCAGCCACACTCATTTGTTCCAGCCACACTCATTTTGTCCCAGCCACACTCATTTTGTTCCAGCCACACTCATTTTGCTCCAGCCACACTCATTTTGTCCCAGCCACACTCATTTTGTCCCAGACACACTCATTTTGTCCCAGGCACACTCATTTTGTCCCAGCACACTCATTTTGTTCCAGCCACACTCATTTTGTTCCAGCCACACTCATTTTGTCCCAGCCACACTCATTTGTTCCAGCCACACTCATTTGTTCCAGCCACACTCATTTTGTCCCAGCCACACTCATTTTGTTCCAGCCACACTCATTTTGTTTCAGCCACACTTATTTTGTCCCAGCCACACTCATTTTGTTCCAGCCACACTCATTTTGTTCCAGCCACACTCATTTTGTTCCAGCCACACTCATTTTGTCCCAGCCACACTCATTTTGTTCCAGCCACACTCATTTTGTTCCAGCCACACTCATTTTGTTCCAGCCACACTCATTTTGTCCCAGCCACACTCATTTTGTTCCAGCTACACTCATTTTCCAGCCACACTCATTTTGTTCCAGCCACACTCATTTTGTCCCAGACACACTCATTTTGTCCCAGACACACTCATTTTGTCCCAGTCACACTCATTTTGTCCCAGGCACACTCATTTTGTTCCAGACACACTCATTTTGTTCCAGACACACCTATTTTTGTCCCAGGCACGCTCATATTGTTCCACACACTTATTTTGTCCCAGGCACGCTCATATTGTTCCACACACTTATTTTGTCCCAGGCACACTCATATTATCCCAGACACATTCATTCTGTCCCAAACACCTTCCTCCCCAACTTGTCCCAAACTCCCTAAACTTATACCAGACACCCTAAACTTATACCAGACACCCTAAGCCTGTACCAGACATCCTAAGCTTGTACCAGACATCCTAAGCTTGTACCAGACATCCTAAGCTTGTACCAGACACCCTAAGCTTGCACCAGACACTCTAAGCTTGTATCAGACACCCTAAGCTTGTGCCAGACACTAAGCTTGTACCAGACACCCTAAACATGTACTAGACACCCTAAGCTTGTACCAGACACCCTAAGCTTGTACCAGACACCCTAAGCTCGTACCAGACACCCTAAGCTTGTACCAGACACCCTGAGCTCGTACCAAACACCCAAATTTGTACCAGACACCCTAAGCTTGTACCAGACACCCTAAGCCTGTACCAGACACCCTAAACTTGTACCAGATATTCTCATCGTGATCCAAACAACTTCAGCTAGTCTCAAACACCCTAAGCTTGCACCAGACACCCTAAGCTTGTACCAGGCACCCTAAGCTTGTACCAAACATTCTCATCGTGACCCAGACACCATCAGTTTGTCCCAAATACCCTCAACAAATTTTTTTTCCCTCCATCACATCCACTGTACACTTCACGTTTTTTGCGTCTGGTCCCTACCCTAACGAAGATCATAACTATAATGTTATAACGAATGGAAAATGCTCTCTGAGCCCCAACGTGAGGTGGGGGCGTTACCACTTCCTCTTACCTCCCTTATCCTTGCCTACCTTTATCTATCCAGCCCTCCCATAACACCCCTCCCTACCCCAGTCTCTCTCCTTCCCTTGGTATGGGTAATTATTGGGGAAGAACGAGAGGGGAATAGTGTGTATTCACGGAAGACATACACACGCACACACACACACACACACACACACACACACACACACACACACACACACACACACACACACACACAGTAGCGACCAGTGACGAGGCGGGGCCAGGAGCTTTGGCTCGACCCCTGCAACCACAACTAGGTGAGTACACACACACAAGGTGGATAGGGACAGAATGCTTCGGAGACGGGACATAGCAAAAAAGGGACACAGCAACAAGGGGACACAACAACAAGGGGACACAGCAACAAGGGGACACAGCAACAAGGGGACACAGCAACAAGGGGACACAGCAACAAGAGGACACAGCAACAAGGGGACACAGCAACAAGGGGACACAGCAACAAGGGGACACAGCAACAAGGGGACACAGCAACAAGGGGACACAGCAACAAGGGGACACAGCAACAAGGGGACACAGCAACAAGGGGACACAGCAACAAGGGGATATAGCAACAAGGGGACACAACTGGAAGTTAAAAACTCAGATGAATCACAGGGATGTTAGGAAGTAGTTCTTCAGTCACAGAGTTGTCAGGAAGTGGAACAATCTGGAGAGTGAGGTAGTGGAGGCAGGATCCATACATAGCTTTAAAAAGAGCAATAATGAAGCTCATGGAGCAAGGAGATAGTGGAAATTGTAGCGAACAGCGATGAAGTGGGGCCAGGAGCTGCTACTCGACCCCTGCAGCCACTTATAGGTTTATACACACACACACACACATACAGAGGAGACAGAAGGGGCTCCAGAAAGACGGAGAGGTGGGGTGCACCACCAAGTGCTGGACACAGTACACACAACCGAGGAAGAAGTGAAGAGGCTTCTGAGTGAGCTAGATACCTCAAAGGCAATGGGGCCAGATAACATCTCCCCATGGGTCCTGAGAGAGGGAGCAGAGGCGCTATGTGTACCCCTAACAACAATATTCAATACATCTATTGAAACAGGGAGATTGCCTGAGGCATGGAAGACAGCAAATGTAGTCCCAATCTTTAAAAAAGGAGACAGACATGAAGCACTAAACTACAGACCAGTGTCACTGACATGTATAGTATGCAAAGTCATGGAGAAGATTATCAGGAGAAGAGTGGTGGAACACCTAGAAAGGAATGATCTCATCAACAGCAGCCAACATGGTTTCAGGGACGGGAAATCCTGTGTCACAAACCTACTGGAGTTCTATGACATGGTGACAGCAGTAAGACAAGAGAGAGAGGGGTGGGTGGATTGCATTTTCTTGGACTGCAAGAAGGCGTTTGACACAGTTCCACACAAGAGATTAGTGCAAAAACTGGAGGACCAAGCTGGGATAACAGGGAAGGCACTACAATGGATCAGGGAATACTTGTCAGGAAGACAGCAGCGAGTCATGATACATGGCGAGGTGTCAGAGTGGGCACCTGTGAACAGCGGGGTCCCACAGGGGTCAGTTCTAGGACCAGTGCTGTTTCTGGTATTTGTGAACGACATGACGGAAGGAATAGACTCCGAAGTGTCCCTGTTTGCAGATGACGTGAAGTTGATGAGAAGAATTCATTCGATCGAAGACCAGGCAGAACTACAAAGGGATCTGGACAGGCTGCAGACCTGGTCCAGCAATTGGCTCCTGGAGTTCAATCCCACCAAGTGCAAAGTCATGAAGATTGGGGAAGGGCAAAGAAGATCGCAGACGGAATACAATCTAGGGGGCCAGAGACTACAAACCTCGCTCAAAGAAAAAGATCTTGGAGTGAGTATAACACTAGGCACATCTCCTGAAGCGCACATCAACCAAATAACTGCTGCAGCATATGGGCGCCTAGCAAATCTCAGAACAGCTTTCCGACATTTTAATAAGGAATCATTCAGGACCCTGTACACCGTGTACGTTAGGCCCATATTGGAGTATGTGGCACCAGTTTGGAACCCACACCTAGCCAAGCACGTAAAGAAACTAGAGAAAGTGCAAAGGTTTGCAACAAGACTAGTCCCAGAGCTAAGAGGTATGTCCTACGAGGAGAGGTTTAAGGGAAATCAACCTGACGACACTGAAGGACAGGAGAGATATGGGGGACATGATAACGACATACAAAATACTGAGAGGAATTGACAAGGTGGACAAAGACAGTATGTTCCAGAGATGGGACACAGCAACAAGGGGACACAGTTGGAAGTTGAAGACACAGATGAATCACAGGGATGTTAGGAAGTATTTCTTCAGCCACAGAGTATTCAGGAAGTGGAATAGTTTGGGAAGCGATGTAGTGGAGGCAGGATCCATACATAGCTTTAAGCAGAGGTATGATAAAGCTCACGGCTCAGGGAGAGTGACCTAGTATCGATCAATGAAGAGGCGGGACCAGGAGCTTGGACTCGACCCCTGCAACCTCAACTAGGTGAGTACAACTAGGTGAGTACACACACACACACACACACACACACACACACACACACACACACACAGGATGGAGGAAGTGCTGGAAGCTGTGTCAAGGGAAGACACAGTAGAAAGTGCCGGAGATGAAAGGAATTCTCCCAGAGTGCTGGGAGAGTCAATGTTGGCAGCATCCAGCTGGAAGGATAGTGACAGCATCCAGATGGGAGGATAATGACAGCATCCAGCTGGAAGGATAATGACAGCATCCAGCTGGGAGGATAGTGACAGCATCCAGTTGGGAGGATAGTGACAGCATTCAGATGGGAGGATAGTGACAACATCCAGTTGGGAGGATGGTGACAGCAACCAGCTGTGAGGATACCTCTGTCATCTGGCCAAGAGAGTGCCACTATCATCCAGCTCTGAGAGTGTCACTATCATCCAGCTGAGAGAGTGGCACTGTAATCCAGCTGAGAGAGAGCACCACTATCATCCAGTTGAAAGAGTGCCACTATCATCCGGCTGAGAGAGTGCCACCATCCAGTTGACAGTGCCACTATCATCCGGCTGAGAAAGTGGCACTATCCTCTCTCAGCCTCTTTGAACTCAGCGTCAAATATTTATCTCAAAAGTGAACGATATAATTCAAAATTCATGACCTGAAATTGAACTATGTCGAATGAAAATGAAATTCAGAGAAGAATTTTTCCCAGATTTATTAATTCTGATTGCCATAGGCGAATTTTGAATGTCATATGTTAGTTCTGAATGCTCACACGTGACGTCTGAGTGTCGTATCTGATTGTGGATTCTGATTTATATATGTGAGTTCTGAATGCCATATATCGGTACTGAATGTTATATGTGGATTCTGATTGATAAATATGACTTCTGATAGTCATATGAGGGTTTCATAAGGTTACTACGTAGGTACTCACCATTTAGTACATGTACTCTGAGAGAGGACGCGGCTGTGTTGGACGGGGCGCAGGTATAGTTACCTGTATCTGACTCCCTAGCATCCTGTGGAGTACATTAGGAACACTGAAGTACATAAGGAACAGTCAGGTACATAAAGAACAGTCAGGTACATAATGAGTAATCACTGCCTAAGCCATTAATTAGGTTATCAAATTTTTATACATTTGTGCATTTGTAGTGAACAGGTTTCAAGTCTATCTACTACACTAAGGGTCATTAAGGTTGTATGTAATCTGTTTACCACCAGCCAAGATTACTTTATTCTCTAAAATAAGGACTATAGTAATCTTTGGGAAAATTTTTAATACTTAAAATATAAATTATGATAACCTATCAGCGTATATACACTGAGAGGCATCCATCTCTCAGTATACATACACTAAGAGGTATTTCTCAATGTATATACACCGAGAGGCACCCATCTCTCAGTGTATGCACATCTGAATGGGTTGTATGTACACCACCAGCTAATATACTTCTCGGCGTATTTATGTGTATACGAGGTTAGGTAAGATCGGTCAGGAAACAGGACAAGTGTTTCCTGACGCGGGTCTTAAATGATGACCCACAGCTGGAACTTTTGGTCATCTGCCCGAAGCCTTCCGCTGGCTTACCACTTTACTCCTTTGAAAATTTTGGTCAATTGTAACTAATTAGACGAATATAATTACTTTTTTCTATTCTATTCTATTTGATTTGCCGGAATGGATCCCGGCCCGGGTCTCTTCCAATTTGGTGACCCGGCATTGGCTCCCCGGTAGGGAAGTGTCGTTATTCTTTTCTTGTACATTCATAGCAGTTCTTCGGCGGGAACGGGGGGGTACCTCTCTGGCTCTATGGCCAAATGACGTACCAAAAGCTAGTGTGCGCTAAAGGTGGCTGGTGTGCGGGGCAATGTAGGCCCAAAGCAGGCCCTCACAGCGACTTCAACGGGAGGGAGGGGGGTGACGTGCAGTGACTGGGAGTAAGGTTTCCAAGTCTCTGACAGCTAAGTACACAAGATGTGCTGCCTCGTCCTCCCGGGTTTGCCCCACTGGGGTCATTGGGAAGTGTCTACGGCGAAGGGGCATCGTTGCCGGGTAGTCTAACAGGTAGTGCACCAAGAGTTTCGGAACCATTCGGCCACAATGGGCACAGAGCTCCCCTCGTGCCCCCTCAACAATCCGCGCAGTGGTGGGATACCCTAAGCGTAGGCGGTGGAGGGGGCGCCCTGTGGGTCGCCCTGACATACCAGCGGAGGCTCCGTGAATCCCCATGGTTAGGGAGTTGGCGCCTGGCCGCACCGGCAGCCCACAGCGCAATCTGGCTGAGACTGATGGAGATTGCAGCACGTGGCTGTGCCTCGAGGGTTGCGGTCCTTGCAGCCTCATCTGCAGCATCATTGCCAGGGATACCCACATGGCTCGGGATCCAGATGATGGTGGCCCTGCGACCCTGGGCCATGAGAGTCTGCAGGTCACCCTGGATGGATGTGATTAAGTGTATGTTGTCCTTTGGCTCTCTGTGTATAATTGCTTGGATCGCTGCCTTGGAATCAACGTGGATGACGTGGGGATGCTGATGGTCTGCAAGAGCATGCTGCAGAGCTTGTTGGATGGCAAAGAGTTCAGCCTGGAGGATGGTGCAATGGTCTGGAAGGCGCCAACCTGCTGTCAGATTGCCATGGAATATCCCAGCAGCTGTGCGGCCTGCCACTGGGTCTCTGGAGCCATCGGTGTAATATGGCACACACCCTGGGCCTTCCGCACCCACAATGCTAGCCGAGGCAAGTCGTTGCAGAATGTCCTGGGTGCAATGCCTCTTGCTGTCTGGTAGGGTTGTCCAGTGCACCGCCAACAGCTCTGGTGCCCAAGGGGGCGGCACCGTGTAGTTTGCTGCCAGTCTGTCGCAGCCTCCCGCCTGGAGCAATGTCATGGGCAGGGGCTTCCCTGTGGCATCTGCTACCGACCACATCCATCAGCGGCCGGGGTGCAGTGGAATGACCTGTCCCTGGCGGACCCATAAATCCCTCATCAGTTTGTCAGCCCCTGGAAGTCGGAGATACTTTGCAATCCTCTTGGCAGCTACCAGTTGGATCCTGTCTTCAATGGGCTGCAGCTGCACCTCAAGGTTCAGAGCCACTGCATTAGCCCACCTAGGAGCCCCCAACATGTCGCATACAGCTGTGTTCCGGATCACACAGAGGGATTTGATGTTTGTGGGTCTCGCGTGAACCAGAGCAAGTGCCCCATAGTCAACGAGGGAGCGTATTGCCTGGATGTAGAACAACCTCATGACCTTGAGGCTGGCCCCAACTCTAGGGTTGGCCATGGCACTCAGTGCCCTGACCCTCTGCAGAGCCCTCTCTTTGATGTGGTGCACATGTTTCTGGAAGGTGAGGTGCCTTTCAATGTAGATGCTGAGGTACCTGTAACTGTGAACCCAGTCCAGGTCGATGCCCAGGACCCGCAGCCCCTGACTGGGTACCCTGGTGCGAAGGATCGTGGCTTTGGATTTTGCCGCAGATATCTTGAGCCTCAAGTGACGGCAAGTGGAAGCCAGCAGATCGAAGTCCTTCTGGGCACGCTGCAAAAGCCGGTGCTTCCTAGGTACGACAAGTGCCAGGTCATCGGCATAGCTGAGGAGGAAGGTGCCTTTGGAGAAAGGCAGGCGCACCAGCGGGTGCATCAGTACATTGAACAGGGTGGGACTAAGCACCCCACCCTTTGGAGTGCCGTTGTCCAGGGTCTTGAGAGAAGAGGCATGCCCCTGGAAGCGTACCCGGGCCCGCCTGTCCTGGAGATAGGAACGAAGCCATGAAAGCAGCCTGCCTTTAAACCCCCTGCGGGCCAAGAGTGAGGATGGCAGGTGCACTGGCTAGCTCAAAAGCTTTCTCGAGGTCAAGAAAGACAACAATGTGGGCTTGGGCGTCCAACTCAATGCCGGCCAGTAGAGTGGTAAGGCTTTCGAATGTGCCCACTCCTCTGGTGAAGCCATAAAGGTGTTTATGAGGAGAGCCAAGCTTCCACCTCAGGTGCTCCAACACCATCCTTTCAGACACCTTCGAGATGCAACTGGTGAGGGAGATGGGTCTCACACTGCCAGGATTCCCAGGCTTAGGAATCGGTATGATGTCAGCCTCCTTCCATACGACAGGGAGTTTGCCAGCTCGCCAATTCCGGTTGACGACCCCCAGGACAGCTGCATGTCCAGAATGCCCAGACCAAGTGATCATGCTATAGGTGAGACCATCATGCCCCTGTGCAGTGTCCCAATGAGATGTGAAGGCTGCCTGGAGCTCCTGGTCGGTGAAGTCTTCATCCATGATGTCCTTAGCCTGGCATGCCGCTTGGATCACCATCATCCTTCTAGGAAGGAGGGTGGCTTGGAGGTCCTGGAGATCCTGAGGCAATTGAGCCATGGCCGCTCAGGAGGTGAAAAGGTCCACCAGACATTCTGCCTCCGTTGCGGGGTCTGGGTGCACTCGAGCCACAATGCGATGCTGCCCAGTGCCAATCGTAACTTGGTCCAAATCTCAGATAAGGCGGAGGAGTAGCTGAGGGAGGCACACCACTCGAACCATTTAGCCTGCCGAACCCTGTGTGAGACATGGCGTGCATGCCGCATCACTTCCCTCAGCAGACGCATGGACTCAACCATGGGATTACGCCTGTGCATCTTGCGTACGACGTTGATCCGGTTGTTCTGCTCCCTGATGTCCTCATTGTAAAACCACCAGTCACGTTTATATGATCCTCCGCCTGTAATCTTAGGTATGGCTGCCTCAGCTGCACATGTGAAGGCCACCTGCAAGCTTTGAGCCGCCTCATCTGGGTCTTCTGGAAGAGGAGACTCTGCCCACCAGTGCTCGATGACCTCCTGGAAGCACTGCCAGTCGGCCCTCTTTAGATTCCATCTGGGGGTAGGTGTGGGGAGCGGGCACCGCTGAACCATCAGCGTGGTGACCACTGCAAAGTGATCACTGGTGAGAAGGGGGTGGACCTCCCATCTTGCACTATAGAGCAACCGCCTAGAGATGAGTGTGACGTCCAACCTACCACCGTAGTGATGGGTTGGCTCACCATTGTTGAGGAGGGCGATCTCAGGGACCTCCTCCAGCACAGCCGCAAGGTGCCTCCCAGCTGCGTTGGTAGGAGAGACAGAAGAAAGTATTGGGTGGTGGGTATTGACATCCCCAGCCACAACAAGACCCTCCCGGGGGGCGAGTGCTGCCACCTCTGAAATGTCAAGGGTGTACCGAGAGCTTCTGTAAATGTTGTAAACCACGAGAGGTCCATCCGGCAGGTGTAGGGTGACAGCCTGAACCTCTATGCCCTCCCCACAGTCGATGGGGTCAGTGAAGATTGAATGAGGGATAGTGGTCCTGACGTAGATCACGGTGCCCCTGCCAGTCCCTTCCAGGCGCTGAAGGTAAGCCGAGAATCCCGAGATACGTGGCTGCATTTGATGTGACGAATTGGTAAGTGTCTCCTGGAACAGGAAGACATCAACCTCATTCTGAACTGCAGCTTCAATCACTAAGTGAATTTTCCGCTGCAGCCCACAAATGTTCCACTGGAGGATCTTCAAGGGCCGCAGAGGTGGCCCTCTGATTCCATCTCTGCCTGGGACTCGTCGTCCGTTGTTGGCGACTCCGGGGCCTCCTCCATCACGGACTGGAAGGACTCCTGGATGATGGCTTGAAGTTCCATTGAGTCCTTCCTGTCCAGTAGGACCACGCCCAGCATCCATGACAGGAGCTGTCTGCAGGTGCCCGTCCTCCGCCGACGGCAGCAGGCGACAGAGGAGTGCTGAGATGACCCCGATGGTTTTCTTCAGTCGATCGGGAAATGATTCGACCATTACCTCTGCAGGCATTGAGCTGGACGACCCGTCGAGTTGGGGCTGGGTCACTGGGTATGTCTGGGTGGCTGTTGACACTGCAGCAGCATAAGCTGGGTGCACCCTGGGTCCGGCCTGAGTGACCATGGGCTTCCGGGTCCCCCGGCGGGGAACCTCTGCCTGACTCTGGCCGCTCTCAGTAGGGGCCTGCCCTTTGGAAGAGGCCTCCTGGCGAGATGGCAAGGAATGTTGGTGCCCAGCTGGGACCTGCTGGGCAGTGTTCCTGGCCTGTGGCTGTTTTTCCCATTGATTCTGTCTTCTTGGCCACCTTGCCATCTGACCCCTCAGTTGACCGCGCTGCAGCAAGCCAGTGCCTACCCCCTGATGCCACTGCTTGGAACCCAGTGCCAGGAACTCGCTGGTATTGCCCTCCTGCGGTATCCGGGGAACTGCGGTTGGAGCCCATACCGACTGTTGCTGGGTGGTTCCAAAGCTGGGTGGCGTTGGGGCTTGTGGGTCGTTCCGATGACAAACCTGCTGCTAGTGCTGCACCATCACAGGACAGCTCCAATTCCAGGCATGGTGCCTCTTTGAGCAGTTGGCACACTTGGGCTCCGGCCGAAGGGCTTTGCCGGTCTGCTGTTTGAGGATGGCAATGCAGTCCTTCGAGTCGTGTGCCTTGCTGCACTGCACACACCACACTTCATCTCTCGCTGGCAGGTGGCTGCAATATGATTAAACCCCTGACAGTTGAAGCATTGTACTGGGCCCGACAGGTATGGTCGGGTCTTGAATCTTCCCCAGACCCCAAGGTCCAGGTGCGTGGGAAGTGGACCTTTGTGGTGGATCAGCACCTGGCGGGTGGGCACCTTGTTCACCGTTGCAGTGAGTCGCTCCGCCTTGACAGTATTGTGCACTTCCAAAATTGGGTCCAGTGGGAGGGGCACAGGGACGTGTAAGAGCACCCCCTTGTACACCTTCTCCGAAGCAACCAGTTCCACCATGCTGGGATGTGTCACAACCAGCCCCTTCAACTCCTCGTAAGAATCCTCGTCCCGAGGAATGACCAGAACCTCGTTTCTGATAGTGAACTCGCAGCGGAACTTGAGGCGGGGTAGACCTTCCAGATACCTTACAAACCCGTAATCGGGAACCTTGAATTTGTTGAAGGCCCTGGTTGCTTGTGCCCGAGCTGAGCGGGAATTCCTCCTTCCACGTGGAGTCAGCCAGTTCCCATCCGCTGTGGAGGCCGACCCAACTGGGGTAGGGACCTGGCTCCATACTTGCCAGTTGAGGAGCTACAGCCTCCTGGCTTCCTTCCACGACCCCTATGGCCATCTGGGGGTGCAAGTCTCCTTGGGTAGCAGCTGCCGACGGATCTAGTGGCAGATTGGCAGATACAGTAGTCTCCACTGCATCCTTGGCCTTCTTGGTGGGGGCTCCCACCTGCCCCACGTCGTCCTCTAACTCGTCCTCGTATTCCAATGAACGTTTAGGCCGCTCTCCTGGATCTGTCATGGTGACTGTAGGTGTGGGGACAGAGCCAGCAGCGGATCTGCTGCCTGTGACCTCACAGCCGCCCACACTGGGTGCAGAGCTGTGAGGCTCAGTGCCCCAGTCGGGGCCCGTAGCCACCCACACGTGACTCACTGCTCTGGAGCACTGAACACAGTCCAAGGATCACTAGAAAGGTCACTAGTATGTGTGTAAACTAACACAGATATATATTCCAAGCGAACACAACACACTCTCTGTCCTCCGATCTCCTTTCCATATGGCTCTGTCTTCTTGTGTTGTGACGTAGTGACGCTCCCGCATTACTTGCAGATCAGATCAGAGGACTCACAGGTAAGGACCCACGAGGGGACTAGACCCAACTGCTCGCATTACTTTTTATTTATTATTATTATTATTAAATATTCGCCGGTATTCTCCCGGCCCGGGCCTTTTCCAAGTGGTGGCCCGACCTTGGCTCCCTCTTTAGGGAGTGTCTGAGACCTAAGTCTCCCATGGGAGGAGGCACAAGTACCTCCTCATCTTTGGGACCAACTGTCCCCAGGCCTAGCCACAAGCTAGGCCTCTCTGGTCTGCCATCCCCGCCCCAAGGGGGCTAATGGGAATGACAGTCTTATGAGCTAAAAGCTCGGGCTCAGGCACCTACCCTACCCTAGAAGGGTAGGGTAGGTGTCGATCGCATTACTTTTTTTTTTTTTTGTAAATTATATATTGTATTTAAGACCAGATGTAGTCACGACAAACACCTTTGAGGGTAAAAGTGGCATAACATCCACTAAAATGTCGCAACGAGTATGTCAAATCTGCTTTAAGGAGGAGGAAAAAAAGACCAATTGTGAGCAAAACGTGCTACAGAGGGTGAAATGTGCCATATTGAGATGCCTTCCCCTTCAACTGTCTTGAGATAAGAGTAATGCAGATAAAATCATTTAATGACGTGAGAGAATGAGAAGTGGAAATGCGTTAATTAGTCAAGCTTTCCCAGGCGCCCTTAACTCAACTCATTAACGTCTTATTAATTGAGCAAATGAATTTACCTGAATAATAATAATAATAATAATAATAATTATTATTATTAGGGAGAGAGGTGTATACACAAATAACCCGCACATAAAAGAGAGAAGCTTACGACGACGTTTCGGTCCGACTTGGACCATTGACAAATGGTCCAAGTCGGACCGAAATGTCGTCGTAAGCTTCTCTCTTTTATGTGCGGGTTATTTGTGTATCGTTCCAGTCACGGTATTGTGCCTTTTTGTTATTTAGGGAGAGAGGTGTTATCTTACCTGTACTGTGTTTCCTGACAAATCTTATACCTACCTACCTTACCTGTAGTAATTAATGTTGTATGACCTTAGTGGGCTTAGTGCATAGTTATGATTAATAATTATAATTATTATATTATTTACCTGTATTAATAGGAAAGCACTAGTATAATTATTATATTATATACCTGTATTAATAGGAAAGCACTAGTAGAGTTACCATGATCTGAGATCACGGAGATGCCGCCACGAGATGACTCAAAATTTACCACCTGGAATAAAAACAATAGCTAGATTATTATTATTATTATTATTATTATTATTATTATTATTATTATTATTATTATTTATTATTATTATTATTATTATTATATTATTATTATTATTATTATTATTATTATTATTATTATTATTATTATTATTATTATTATTATATTCACCTGTGAAATACTAATCCTGAATATATATATATATATATATATATATATATATATATATATATATATATATATATATATATGTGTGTGTGTGTGTGTGTGTGTGTGTGTGTGTGTGTGTGTGTGTGTGTGTGTGTGTGTGTGTGTGTGTGTGTGTGTGGTATCACGTTACAATAATCACGAACAAGCGATACAAGATGCAAAACAGCCACAGGGGGAATTGAATGATAGTTCTAGGCCTTTCGTGTTGCAATCAACACATCAGGAGTTTGCAATGTTGCAGAAATGAGTAGGAAGTCAAAGCTCAATAGTTCAGGAGAATGCAGAAATGTTCCTCTGAACTCACCCGCCTGGACTTCCTACTCATTTCTGTAACAGAGCAAGTTCCTGATGATGTGTTGACTGCAAGACGAAAGGCCCAGAGCTATCATTCAGCTCCCTGTAGTTGTTTTCCATATAAACACTCACCTTATCATTGTGGTACCAGAATATATAAGCTGGAGTCTCAGTGCCATGTCTTATGATACAAGTGAGGTTGATAGTGGAGCCTTTATCCACATGGATGTCTGGAGCACCAATAATCTCTGCCTGAGGCTCTGCTACACATGAAATAATGTTATTTTCTCATACAACTTGGCATGTAAATACATGGGAGAGACATTAGAAGATCCCGTGATTTGTTATGGATGTTATTTACGGGAAATATGGATATACTGACGTATAATAACCTCCCTTACTCAAAAAAATGGATATACGGACGCATAATAACGTTCCTTACTCAAAAAAATGGATATACTGATGTATAATGACCTTCCTTACTCAAAAAAAGGGATATATACTGACGTATAATAACCTTCCTTACTCAAAAAAATGGATATACTGACGCATAATAACCTTCCTTACTCAAACAAATGGATATACTGACGTATAATAACCTTCCTTACTCAAAAAATGGATATACTGACGTATAATAACCTTTCTTACTCAAAAAAATGGATATACTGACGTATAATAACCTTTCTTACTCAAAAAATGGATATACTAACGTATAATAAACTTCCTTACTCAAAAAAATGGATATACTGACGTATAATAACCTTCCTTACCCAAAAAATGGATATACTGACGTATAATAACCTCCCTTACTCAAAAAATAATGACCCTAATAAAAGAATATTAAGTATATGAAAATTGCATAAGAGACAGTGGAAGATCCTGTGATTTGTTATATATGTTATTTACGGGAGAAAATATACGTATTCGCGAAATAACTTTCCCATCTCAAAAAATGATGACCATAAAAACAATATTAAATGCCCTAGGGATGGTCCGAAAAAAAATTTTGGTGGGTACAAGTTTGTAGAAGATCATAAAACGCGTCGTAAATTAAAACTTCTTAACCGTTTCAATGTATATATTCTGAAAGTTTAGTTTAATCCTTTCATTGGGAATTAAAGTAATCCTGACTGTGGTATATGGATGAGTTACTCTTAATGACCCTCATGGTGGATTCTCAATTTTTAATCCAAAATTTGAAACTAATATACAAAATTATATTTTTTATGTTTGTAAGAATTTTAACGAATATTAAAATACAATTAAATGTTTACAAGGATTTGAGGAATTTTTACTTATATAAGAAAAATTTACATAGTATTTTGAAGTCATTTTATTAAAAATAATTATTTTTTATAAAGTAATTATAAATACGGACGAATTTTTTAATTATTACGAATACTTTATTAATAAATTTTTGAGATATAAATCCAATAGAATTTATTTCATATTTTTAGACTTCACAGAATTCCAGGAAAGTTACATTTTGTTTTCACGGCTTAAAAAAAATTCCACTTGGAATGGCGAAGGGAAGGAAGGTAGTAATAAAGAGAAGAAGGGCACATAGATAAAAGAATGGACGTATGGCTAAAGATAGATAATAGTATATACATGTATTCGTCCTCTTAGAGAATATAAATCATAATGTGGATGGAATAAGATATAACTCACCCATAATTTGGTTGTTAAAAGTAGACGTTTCGGTCCATACTGGGTCATTATAATTAGTTTAATAACTATTTAGATATGACCGAAATGTCATCTAACTTTCATTTAGTTTAATCGTGAATCCGTCCATTTTTACGAGTCAAAAAGCTATTCAGGCATATAATGAAATCTACAAACACACAGAAACCGCTCATGGTTCAGAGAGAGTGACACAGTAGCGACCAGTGAAGAGGCGGGGCCAGGAGCTATGAATCGACCCCTGCAACCACAACTAGGTGAGTACAACTCGGCATGTTTTTGTTGCTGTCTTTAAAGATCTATGACAGCTTAAGTGACCACTGCTGTGACCCATGTCCGGTAATCCATACGAGTGAGTCCGACACCGGGACTCGCATGTCCACTTGTGAAGACGGTCATAAACAACTGAGGGAGGACTCCAGAAGGAATCCACTGCCTTGAAGAGGTTTCCACGACATAAGATGTGCATCAAAAGGTTTAAGTAGCAAAGAGACGCGTGTTTTATTGCGGAGGATATCATGACCTCCTGAGTATTATTGTCAGGCAAGACCATGAGAAACTGCGAGGCAGAAAGTGATACAACAGCCACTAGGCTATTGTTTAATATACTGTAGAAGATTACTGGTTTCCAGACTCTGAGGTTGGTCCTGAAACATGAATTATTTCAGCCCATTCTTCTCAGCAAACGTAGTTTTTATACTTCCTGGAAAGAGTTCCTTACAGAGGTCGCCTCATATCTTCTTGTTCAACCATGGGTTTCCTTCGTAACTTAACGTCTGAGACGATTTCCTTCAATTTTTTTCCGTGTGTTATAACTAGGGAAAAGTTCATACAGTTATCGGGATGTGTGACCAGCAGTAACAGCCTGGTTGATCAGGCTCTGATCAACCGCGAGGACTGGTTATGGACCGGGCCGTGGGGGCGTTGTCCCCCGAAAGACCCTCCAGGTATACATGTGCCACCAGATCAATTTTATTTCCACTGTTCCTAGTCCACCTATTAGCGGGCAGTGTGAGTTCCACTTAACTAGATTTGTAAACAAAATGGGATATTAAAACAAGAGGCTTCGGATTATAATACTGCCTGGTCCTCTTAAGAGGTTAGGTTAGGTAAGATTGGTCAAGAAACAGGACCAATGTTTCCTGACGCGGGTCTTACAGTTTTGGTCATCTGACCGAGGCCTTCCGCTGGCTTACCGGTCCACCCCCTTCAAAAATTATGGCCATTTATAACCATGTTTTTATAATTCCTCTTAAGAGTATTTGAACCTACTGATATATATATATATATATATATATATATATATATATATATATATATATATATATATATATATATATATATATATATGCAAAACAACCACTCTGAAAGAATAGAGAAATTCCAAGCGCTTTCGTGACTACTCACATTATCAAGGAACTATGAAAGTAAAGCATCCAAGGAAGCTATATAAGGGGTCTGGCCAGCACCTCACTATCAGATCCCACAACGGTTAAACACCTGACGCGCGCCGACCCAACTTGGATAGGTCCTTTGCACAACTCACCAACAAACTATTCTACCCAAGAAAATTTAAAAATTATTATTTGTCCAGTGTATTATTAAATTCTTCCCAAATTCTATTAATTATAAATGGATCTAATTTATATAAACCAAAGGAAATATTCATATTATTGTCAAAACTGCTTTTTATGAAACAAGATTCAATTATATTCCTGTCGACCATGGACTTGCTTGATACTACTTTCTCAACTTTTTGAAAATCAATTGGATGGTTAAAATCTCTTACATGAATAAATAGAGCATTGGAATCTTGTCCAGTTCTAATGCTATATTTATGTTGTTTTAATCTTAGTTCGAGATTTTTACCAGTTTGACCGTAATAAACTTTATCGCAAATTGGGACCCGTGCCAGGACTATGGTCTTGGCGAACATTATACATACTTTACTTTCATAGTTCCTTGATAATGTGAGTAGTCACGAAAGCGCTTGGAATTTCTCTATTCTTTCAGAGTGGTTGTTTTGCATATATATATATATATATATATATATATATATATATATATATATATATATATATATATAATATATATATATATATATATATATATATAATTTCCTCAGTATTGTGGTGATAATGAGATGATTAAATCTTTTATTTAAAGCAAAAATGAAAGAGAGATAAAGCTATCTCACGATCATGACCCTCCACATGCTGTATATTCCTTCAGTTGGCAGAAAGTTACCCACCAGAGAAGCTAAAATATCTAGAGAATAAATTTCCGAAAATCTTGCCAGAATGAAATGTTTCTGTAAATTTTGTATTATGGTGAACCGTTTTGCAGTTTATAATTTTTTTTAATCACATTTTGGGGTGACTGCTGTTGCTTCTTGGGTAGTGGCGTGTTGGTGGCAGGGTGCTCATGATCCGAGGAACTGGATCTATTCTGTTGTTTTTTTCTATATTGAAGCTTACTGGCTGGCTTTCCACAGGTGTTGCATGACCCATACGGGTTTACCGTTTGTCCACTGTATGTAATAACAATAATAATTACTATTATAATAGTAACTGAAATAATAATAATAATACTAAAAATAATAATAATAATAATAACAATAATAATAATAATAATAATAATAATAATAATAATTATAATAATAATAATAATAATAATGATAATAATAATAATAATAATAATAATAATGATCAGCACTGTGATACTTGAAGAATATTTAAGTTTTAGAGGCAATATATCCCTGTTGGATATATTTCTCTCAGGGTATATACACTTGAGAGCTTTCTTATGGATGGTGTAGTTGATAGGCTTTCAACCCCATTAACCAACCAACAAGGTATGAAATACTTTCGTTTTGTGTCGAGAAACTAGTTGTGTGTGCAAGGTGAAGGTAGTTTGAAGAGCGAGAGATTTGAAGCCTATCTACTACATAACCTGGAGTTTACCTGGAGAGAGTTCCTGGGGTCAACGCCCCCGCGGCCCGGTCTGTGACCAGGCCTTCTGGTGGATCAGAGCCTGATCAACCAGGTTGTTACTGCTGGCTGCACGCAAACCAACGTACGAGCCACAGCCCGGCTGGTCAGGAACCGACTTTAGGTGCTTGTCCAGTGCCAGCTTGAAGACTGCCAGGGGTCTGTTGGTAATCCCCCTTATGTATGCTGGGAGGCAGTTGAACAGTCGCGGGCCCCTGACACTTATTGTATGGTCTCTTAACGTGCTAGTGACACCCCTGCTTTTCACTGGAGGGATGTTGCATCGTCTGCCAAGTCTTTTGCTTTCGTAGTGAGTGATTTTCGTGTGCAAGTTCGGTACTAGTCCCTCTAGGATTTTCCAGGTGTATATAATCATGTATCTCTCCCGCCTGCGTTCCAGGGAGTACAGGTTCAGGAACCTCAAGCGCTCCCAGTAATTGAGGTGTTTTATCTCCGTTATGCGCGCCATGAAGGTTATTAATGCTGCAAGTTACCTGTTCACCACCAGGTCAACGATATTTTAATATCTAACATAAGGATCTAAAATAAACTCAGTATATATATATATATATATATATATATATATATATATATATATATATATATATATATATATATATATATATATATATATATATATATATATATCTCGATGAGTGTAGCCTATGTCATAAAATATATTTCAGCTTTACCAGCTATTTTTAAGCTTCAGCTTAGTATACTGGGTCGTGGAAGAACTAATACGAAGATATATTCATGAGAGCTGTGTGTGGCTGGCTCTCTCTCCTCTCTTTGTATCATGAGAGAGAAAGAGAGAGTGAGGCCTTGAGAGCTGCAACATGTCAGCCAGCAGTGTGTGCGATATCTTGTGTTTTCAAGTCATATTCACTGCTTCCTCCCTCCAAAATTTATACAATTTTGTTTGCAGATGGCGGAATATATATATATATATATATATATATATATATATATATATATATATATATATATATATATATATATATATATATATATATATATATGCAAAACAACCACTCTTGTTTTGCATATTTTGAAATCACCTGTTTACTGTGATCTTATTGCATATATATATATATATATATATATATATATATATATATATATATATATATATATATATATATATATATATATATATATATATATATATATATATATATATATATATATATATATATATATATAGATAGATAGATAGATATATAGATACATATAGCTACAAATATAGATATACTCTGGGTAATAAATCTTTGTAAATACATGTGGAAACATACGCCTTTCAGTGTATATACACAGAGATTATCCATTTCTCAATGTGTGTACACAGATATTCGCTTCTCATGGTATATGCACTGGGAAACATCGATCTTCCGGAGTATACACAGAAACGTATTTTTCGTTGTATTTTCAGATATACACCACCAGGTGTATGAACACAAATATGCACCTCTGCTTGCATATACGAGGATATATATGAAAAAAATATGTGCTTCTCTATATGCTTTCATTATTAATAATTAGGCGTTACTAGTTTAAGATACTGCGTGCTTAGTTTTATCCACCACATGGTGTAATACACTAAACTACACAACACAGGGTGTAAGTTGATAAATTAGACACATGTGCAACACTCCACACAGTGGCTTCATCAGTCCTATACAAAGGAGAATGGTGAAGATAGGAAGGAGTTAAGGTAAATCAATCCCTCAGCCTGGAGGCGATGTAATCAGTCTATCAAGCTTGAAAAGATTGATGGAGGACTGGCTACCTCAAAGTCCTTCTGATCTTCACTATTCTCCTTTGTATGGACTGATGAAGCCACTGTGTGGAGAAACGTTTCCTCAATAAAGATACCCCAGTGTTGGACATGTGTCTGATTTATCAACATGCCGGTTCTCTGAACCACTTATCTACAGGGCGTAAGTTACTCACCGTAGACCTGTAGATGAACCACGTACGACCTGACGGGTTTAGTTGAAACCTGACACTCGTAGTTACCAGAATCACGGACCTGAGCATACTTGATCTTCAGGATCCAGTCTTTGGATCCGTGGGAGTTGATGACTTCGAAGCGTTCGTCAGTAGTGTAGGTGTACCGACCCACAGTCATGATGTGTAGGTCCCGTTGTCTGATCCACGACACCTGTGTTTATATTATTGACATTATTATTATTATTATTATTATTATTATTTTATTATTGCTATTATTATTAAGCACCTGGAAAATAAGAGTTAATCGTGTTTAACCCGAGGAAGGAGAGCAGCTCCACTTCACAGGATCAAGAGCCCATGACCAGCGTCAAAGCAGCCTCACCTCAAGGAATTCTCTTTACGTAAATGCTGAAGAATAACGGAATTAACTAAGGTACTTATCATTCTATTTATTATTCAAGTCTTAGAGCACACACAATGCCCAAGACGATAGACTTAATGTGTTCCCCTTTAAGAAGATTAAACTACCGTGAAGAAGACAAAGATGACATCTTACTTGAAAGACTGAAGCAGAGTATATATGTAAATGGCTTCAGGAACAAATCCAAATATTCTTCCTTGAAGCCTTTTTATCCACTTCTCCGAGGCTATGGCCTATGAGTTGAATCCCTTGACTGTGTCTATAGTACGAGTTAAATCCCCTGACTTTATCTAGGAAGCAAATCCCGTGACTACGTCTACCACTAAGATTCAGTCAATCGCCTGTCAAGATGATTAAATCCTCCTTCTGTCACACTAGCGGGAAATTAAATTGCCCGGCTGTCAGCCCATTAGACAGCCTCAATACTAGCTCTCTAAATCTACCAAATACTGGTCCATATTGACCATATAAAAATCAGGAACGTTATAAACCTGAAGGAATTCAATTTGGCTCTAAATGGGAGAGATATATACCGCTTGGCAGCTTCAAAGAGTTACTGTCTGCCAGTATTGTTGGTATATTAATGGAGTATGTGTTCTCTAAATTGAGATTTAGAAAGGGTATATACGTATGTATTAGTTTGTCTAAGGATACAATGTGAGATGTGGTGGTTTGTTGTTTGTGACAGTGTGAGATGTGGTGGTCTGTTTGTGAGTGTGAGATGTGTGTGGTCTGTTTGTGACAGTGTGAGATGTGGTGGTCTGTTTGTGAGTGTGAGATGTGGTGGTCTGTTTGTGAGTGTGAGATGTGGTGGTCTGTTTGTGACAGTGTGAGATGTGGTGGTCTGTTTGTGACAGTGTGAGATGTGGTGGTCGTTTGTGACAGTGTGAGATGTGGTGGTCTGTTTTGTGACAGTGTGAGATGTGGTGGTCTGTTTGTGACAGAGTGAGATGTGGTGGTCTGTTTGTGAGTGTGAGATGTGGTGGTCTGTTTGTGAGTGTGAGATGTAGTGGTCTGTTTGTGAGTGTGAGATATGGTGGTCTGTTTGTGACAGTGTGAGATGTGGTGGTCTGTTTGTGACAGTGTGAGATGTGGTGGTCTGTTTGTGACAGTGTGAGATGTGGTGGTCTGTTTGTGACAGTGTGAGATGTGGTCGTCTGTTTGTTGAGTGTGAGATGTGGTGGTCTGTTTGTGACAGTGTGAGATGTGGTGGTCTGTTTGTGGTGTGAGATGTGGTGGTCTGTTTGTGAGTGTGAGATGTGGTGGTCTGTTTGTGGCAGTGTGAGATGTGGTGGTCTGTTTGTGAGTGTGAGATGTGGTGGTCTGTTTGTGACAGTGTGAGATGTGGTGGTCTGTTTGTGACAGTGTGAGATGTGTGGTCTGTTTGTGAGATGTGAGATGTGGTGGTCTGTTTGTGAGTGTGAGATGTGGTGGTCTGTTTGTGACAGTGTGAGATGTGGTGGTCTGTTTGTGACAGTGTGAGACGTGGTGGTCTGTTTGTGACAGTGTGAGATGTGGTGGTCTGTTTGTGAGTGTGAGATGTGGTGGTCTGTTTGTGACAGTGTGAGATGTGGTGGTCTGTTTGTGACAGTGTGAGATGTGGTGGTCTGTTTGTGAGTGTGAGATGTGGTGGTCTGTTTGTGACAGTGTGAGATGTGGTGGTCTGTTTGTGAGTGTGAGATGTGGTGGTCTGTTTGTGACAGTGTGAGATGTGGTGGTCTGTTTGTGAGTGTGAGATGTGGTGGTCTGTTTGTGAGTGTGAGATGTGGTGGTCTGTTTGTGAGTGTGAGATATGGTGGTCTGTTTGTGACAGTGTGAGATGTGGTGGTCTGTTTGTGAGTGTGAGATGTGGTGGTCTGTTTGTGAGTGTGAGATGTGGTGGTCTGTTTGTGACAGTGTGAGATGTGGTGGTCTGTTTGTGAGTGTGAGATATGGTGGTCTGTTGTTTGTCAGAGTAACAGACATAGAGGTCTGTTGTTTGTCACAGTAACAGACATAGTGGTCTGTTGTTTGTTGTTTGTTTCGGTCTGACAGGAGGCTTGTTGTGGAAACTTGAGATCCGTGTTGTTAGTAAAGGCAAGCATATTGTTTCAGAATTCTGATGATGTCTTCCTAACTTCTGACAAAAATATTTTCCGCCTAAGTATTACGAACGATTTCTTTTTCACGAACAACCCATAATTTCGTGACTGGAACAACTCGCAACCAGTATACAAATCACAGTGCCGTGGCTGGAACAACTCTCAACCAGTATACAAATCACAGTGCCGTGGCTGGAACAACTCGCAACCAGTATACAAATAACAGTGCCGTGGCTGGAACAACTCGCAACCAGTATACAAATCACAGTGACGTGGCTGGAACAACTCGCAACCAGTATACAAATCACAGTGCCGTGGCTGGAACAACTCGCAACCAGTATACAAATCACAGTGCCGTGGCTGGAACAACTCGCAACCAGTATACAAATCACAGTGCCGTGGCTGGAACAACTCGCAACCAGTATACAAATCACAGTGCCGTGGCTGGAACAACTCGCAACCAACATACATGTAATAATATCATATGTTCAGAAGAGCTAGCTAGGTGTCTGGATAGCTCCAGACACCTAGATACTATCTAGATAGCTCCAGACACCTAGATACTATCTAGATAGCTCCAGACAACTAGATACTATCTAGGTGTCTGGAGCTATGTACTCAGAAGAATTATCTGCTTCCATCTAGACTAAGAACTATATTGTATTATCGAGGTAAATCACAGCTCTCAAAGTCATAGACCAGTGGATGAGTTTTAGTACTCACCCACTGGTCTATGTACTCACCCACTGGTCTATGTACTCACCCACTGGTCTATGTACTCACCCACTGGTCTATGTACTCAACCACTGGTCTATGTACTCACCCACTGGTCTATGTACTCACCCACTGGTCTATGTACTCACCCACTGGTCTATGTACTCACCCACTGGTCTATGTACTCACCCACTGGTCTATGTACTCACCCACTGGTCTATGTACTCACCCATTTGGTCTATGTACTCACCCACTGGTCTATGTACTCAACCATGGTCTATGTACTCACCCATGGTCTATGTACTCACCCACTGGTCTATGTACTCACCCACTGGTCTATGAAACTCACCCACTGGTCTATGTACTCACCCACTGGTCTATGTACTCACCCACTGGTCTATGTACTCACCCACTGGTCTATGTACTCACCCACTGGTCTATGTACTCACCCACTGGTCTATGTACTCACCCACTGGTCTATGTACTCACCCACTGGTCTATGTACTCACCCACTGGCTATGTACTCACCCACTGGTTCTATGTACTCACCCACTGGTCTATGTACTCACCCACTGGTCTATGTACTCACCCACTGGTCATGTACTCACCCATGGTCTATGTACTCACCCACGGGTTTCTATGCACTCACCCACTGGTCTATGTACTCACCCACTGGCCTATGCACTCACCCACTGGCCTATGCACTCACCCACTGGTCTATGTACTCACCCACTGGCCTATGCACTCACCCACTGGTCTATGCACTCACCCACGGGGTTATGCACTCACCCACTGGCCATGCACTCACCCACTGGTCTATGCACTCACCCACTGGTCTATGCACTCACCCACTGGCCTATGTACTCACCCACTGGCCTATGCACTCACCCACTGGTCTATGCACTCACCCACTGGTCTATGCACTCACCCACTGGTCTATGCACACACCCACTGGCCTATGCACTCACCCACTGGCCTATGCACTCACCCACTGGCCTATGCACTCACCTACTGGTCTATGCACTCACCCACTGGTCTTTTGCACTCACCCACTGGTCTATGCACTCACCCACTGGTCTATGCACACACCCACTGGCCTATGCACTCACCTACTGGTCTATGCACTCACCCACTGGTCTATGCACTCACCCACTGGTCTATGCACTCACCCACTGGTCTATGCACTCACCCACTGGTCTGTCCCAATCACCCACTGGTCTATGCACTCACCACTGGTCTAGGCACACACCTACTGGTCTATGCACTCACCCACTGGCCTATGCACTCACCCACTGGTCTATGCACTCACCCACTGGTCTATGCACTCACATACTGGTCTATGCACTCACCCACTGGCCTATGCACTCACCCACTGGCCTATGCACTCACCCACTGGTCTATGCACTCACCCACTGGTCTATGCACTCACCCACTGGTCTATGCACACACCCACTGGCCTATGCACTCACCCACTGGCCTATGCACTCACCCACTGGCCTATGCACTCACCTACTGGTCTATGCACTCACCCACTGGTCTATGCACACACCCACTGGCCTATGCACTCACCCACTGGCCTATGCACTCACCGACTGGCCTATGCACTCACCTACTGGCCTATGCACTCACCCACTGACCTATGCACTCACCCACTGGCCTATGCACTAACCCACTGGCCTATGCACTCACCCACTGGCCTATGCACTCACCCACTGACCTATGCACTCACTTACTGGCCTATGCACTCACCCACTGGCCTATGCACTCACCTACTGGCCTATGCACTCACCCACTGGCCTATGCACTCACCTACTGGCCTATGCACTCACTTACTGGCCTATGCACTCACCCACTGGCCTATGCACTCACCCACTGGCCTATGCACTCACCCACTGGCCTATGCACTCACCCACTGGCCTATGCACTCACCCACTGGCCTAATGCACTCACCCACGGGACTATGCACTCACCCACTGGCCTATGCACTCACCCACTGCCATCACCACCCAACCTGGCCTATGCATCACCCACTGGCCTATGCACTCACCACTGGCCTATGCCTCACCCACTGGACTATGCACCACCCACTGGCCTATGCACTCACCCACTGGCCTATGCACTCACCCACTGGCCTATGCACTCACCCACTGGCCTATGCACTCACCCACTGGCCTATGCACTCACCCACTGGCCTATGCACTCACCCACTGGCCTATGCACTCACCCACTGGACTATGCACTCACCCACTGGCCTATGCACTCACCCACTGGTCTATGTACTCACCCACTGGTCTATGTACTCACCCACTGGTCTATGTACTCACCCACTGGTCTATGTACTCACCCACTGGTCATGTACTCAACCCACTGGTCTATGTACTCACCCACTGGTCTATGTACTCACCCACGGGTCTATGTACTCAACCATTTGGTCTATGTACTCACCCACTGGTCTATGTACTCACCCAAGGGTCTATGTACTAAACCCATGGTTATGTACTCACCCACTGGTCTATGTACTCACCCACTGGTCTATGTACTCACCCACTGGTCTATGTACTCACCCACTGGTCTATGTACTCACCCACTGGTCTATGCACTCACCCACTGGTCTATGTACTCACCCACTGGCCTATGCACTCACCCACTGGCCTATGCACTCACCCACTGGTCTATGTACTCACCCACTGGCCTATGCACTCACCCACTGGTCTATGCACTCACCCACTGGTCTATGCACTCACCCACTGGCCTATGCACCCCACCCACTGGTCAAATGCACTCACCCACTGGTCTATGCACTCACCCACTGGCCTAGGGTAACTCACCCACTGCCTATGCACTCACCACTGGTCTATGAAACTCACCCACTGGTCTATGCACTCACCCACTGGTCTATGCACACACCCACTGGCCTATGCACTCACCCACTGGCCTATGCACTCACCCACTGGCCTATGCACTCACCTACTGGTCTATGCACTCACCCACTGGTCTATGCACTCACCCACGGCTATGCACTCACCCACTGGTCTATTCACAACCCACTGGCCTATGCACTCACCTACTGGTCTATGCACTCACCCACTGGTCTATGCACTCACCCACTGGTCTATGCACTCACCCACTGGTCTATGCACTCACCCACTGGTCTGTGCACTCACCCACTGGTCTATGCACTCACCCACTGGTCTATGCACACACCTACTGGTCTATGCACTCACCCACTGGCCTATGCACTCACCCACTGGTCTATGCACTCACCCACTGGTCTATGCACTCACCTACTGGTCTATGCACTCACCCACTGGCCTATGCACTCACCCACTGGCCTATGCACTCACCCACTGGTCTATGCACTCACCCACTGGTCTATGCACTCACCTACTGGTCTATGCACTCACCCACTGGCCTATGCACTCACCCACTGGCCTATGCACTCACCTACTGGTCTATGCACTCACCCACTGGTCTATGCACACACCCACTGGCCTATGCACTCACCCACTGGCCTATGCACTCACCCACTGGCCTATGCACTCACCTACTGGCCTATGCACTCACCCACTGACCTATGCACTCACCCACGGCCAAATGCACTAACCCACTGGCCTTTTGCACTCACCCACTGGCCAAATGCACTCACCCACTGACCTATGCACTCACTTACTGGCCTATGCACTCACCCCACTGGCCTATGCACTCACCCTATGGCCTATGCACTCACCCACTGGCCTATGCACTCACCTAACTGGCCTATGCACTCACTACGGGCCTATGCATCACCCACTGGCCTATGCACCCCACCCACTGGCCTATGCATTTCACCCACTGGCCTATGCACTCACCCACTGGATTTATGCACTCACCCACTGGCCTATGCACTCACCCACTGGCCTATGCACTCACCCACGGGCCTATGCACTCACCCACTGGCCAATGCACTCCCCCATGGCCTATGAAACTCACCCACGGCCTATGCACTCACCCACTGGCCTATGCACTCACCCCACTGGCCTATGCACTCACCCACTGGACTATGCACTCACCCACTGGCCTATGCACTCACCCACTGGCCTATGCACTCACCCACTGGCCTATGCACTCACCCACTGGCCTATGCACTCACCCACTGGCCTATGCACTCACCCACTGGCCTATGCACTCACCTATAGGTTCAGATCCTACCCGTTCCGTGATTTGTTTGCGATCGTTATTATATATTCATAAGTCTCGATCTAGTTGTCTAAGGCTATATTCTTCTGTTTAGATTCAGTTCTGTTCTGTCAGCTTAAAATCCACGACTTTCATAGCACATCACATCTCTTGCAATACTTGAACTAAACAAGTTTAAATGTACAACTATTCTCTATATATGAGCTTACCGTTAGGTTAGGTTAGGTTAGGTTAGGTTAGGTTAGATTAAGTTAAGTTAGGTTAAATTAGGTTAGGTTAGGTTAGGTTAGGTTAGGCTAGGTTAGGTTAGGTTAGGTTAGGTTAGGTTAGGCTAGGTTAGGTTAGGTTAGGTTAGGTTAGGTTAGGCTAGGTTAGGTTAGGTTAGGTTAGATTAGATTAGGTTAGGTTAGGTTAGATTAGGTTAGGTTAGGTTAGGTTAGGTTAGGTTAGGTTAGGCTAGGTTAGGTTAGGTTAGGTTAGGTTAGGTTAGATTAAAAATTAGGTTAGGTTAGGTTAGGTTAGGTTAGGCTGGGTTTAGGTTAGGTTAGGTTAGGTTAGGTTAGGTTAGGCTAGGTTAGGTTAGGTTAGGTTAGGTTAGGTTAGGTTAAGTTAGGTTAGGTTAGGTTAGGCTAGGTTAGGTTAGGTTAGGTTAGGTTAGGTTAGATTAAATTAGGTTAGGTTAGGTTAGGTTAGGTAAGGTTCGTCAGGAAACAGGATAAGTGTTTCCTGACGCGGGTCTTAGATGATGACCCGCCGTTGGAGCTTTTGGTCATCTGACCGAAGCCTTCCGCTGGCTTTCCGGTCAACCCCTTTAAATATCATGGTCAAAGCTATAACTATTTTTATAGAAGTATTTATCAGTCAGGAAACTCACACTTTTGTTGCCCAGGTTGTGAACAAGGCAGTGTAGGTAGGCAGAATTATCAGTCATAGCTGTAACGTTGCGTGGAGCCGCCTGGTCAAAGACAGGGTGCAATGGAACTGTTAGAGATCCACTGGTGTCTCCAAGAGCCAGTTCCAACAGTGGTTTGATGGGTTCAACAGGCGTGCTACTAGTTCCGTCTAACTTCGTGCCTAGTTTAATGTTACTGCCTCTGTTTCGGGTAGGTGTGGCAGTGGCAGGTGTGGTGGTTCCAGCAGTGTTCTGGTGGAGATTGAGTTGTTCTTGGGGTAGATGGGCGGTGGATCCGTTGACAGAAGACAGTACCGGAGGTGCCACCACAGAAACTCCTGTTGAGAGACAAATATAACATTTTAACATAACTGTTATTATATTATGTTATATTACTCTCTGAGAGGGTAAAATTACGCCATAAATCGACACAAAACAGTTATAACCGCTTTCAATATTCCTCGTACAGATGTTATACCACACACAATGATTATAGCAAGACACATAACTGTTATAACTGCAGTCTATATTCTTCATGCAGAAGTTATAACACTATGAGGATGATAACCTAACTTGAACACTCACAGTTACACTCCACATTAATATTCCACCTTTCCCAAGTTACTGCCACCGTTGATTACTGTAACCTTAGGAAGTCTAGGCTAAACTGGCAGAATATATTTACCAGGGTATATGCACCCAGACCTGTATGTCCCCAAGAGTATATGTATACCGAGAGTTTACTTAAATCCCTTTTTATGATTAAGGATTTCTAGACTGGTGGTGAAGAGATGACATGACAAGTAGCCATAATGACCTTCGTGTAGTACATGTGTGTGTGTGTGTGTGTGTGTGTGTGTGTGTGTGTGTAAATTGAGTAATACTGGTGATGGAGACATTAAAGTGATGGAAAGTCAGGGGTAAGGATGGAGAAATGACAGTAAGTGTGATGAACTCTAGAGGGGGAAATGATAGACACACACACACACACACACACACACACACACACACACACACACACACACACACACACACACACACACACACACACACACGCACACACACACACATATAACCAATTTGTTTGGTGTTCTGGTAGCAGGCGTGTGAATGATAGACGTCTTCGGAAGCTTCTTACTTTATTGTTAAGTCGTGGTGGGTACACAGGCTTGTGTGTTGTGCCCATGGCCCGGGTAGGCCATGCCCACGAGGGAGAGAGGAGTGGACAGTTCTTGACTGAGTGATGGGTGTCGCCAGAGTGAGACCGTGGCAAGGGCAGACAGGCTGGCGTGCCCACCGAGAGGCCTGGCTACAGAGGGCAGCACCTTAGTGCCGCGAAATATGAACTAAGCTGGCAGACAGCATGGGTTGTCTGTGCAGACAGTACAGGCTGTCTACATACGCTCAGCCACCTACCTCGCGTCGTCCCGACGCGACAATACTGGTGGTAAAAGAAACTCGATCTCTCTCTCGTAGGAACAGGGCACAGAACACAAAATAAAAACATATATATACATATGGACATGGAAAAAAAACTTCCTGCAGGGAGGGAAGAAAAAAACATGTGGGGTGTGCTAAACATCGTGGTCATAGGCAGTGAGCGTCGAAGGGCATCACTGCATGCCTTCCTGCATCTGGACAGATACTGCAACACAGGAGACATCGCTGCAGCTGAGCTGTGACGTAACAGGGTACAGTCTCCTCTGGAACGGTGAAGCAGTCATCGTAGGAGTCGCTTCAGGTTTTCACTCAACCTGTGGCACGACATGCTGGTGCCCTCGAGTGACGCGTCGACAAAACTCGGCAACTGGGCAGGACTTCTGGCAAGTGACTCAGGATGACACTTCTCGACTGGTACTGTCGCTGGGCTGTCACTGCCGGCGAGTGTGGAGCGAGTTGTGGAGAGAGTCGTGGCAGAGACGACTGGGCGAAACATCTGGGAGTCGTAACATCATACACCAGACTGCAGTGAGAGAGCTAGCAGTCAAAGTGACATCTTTGTGCAGGCTGCTCACTGAAGCTTGTGACACGAGGTTGACACAGCGCCTGCCGACAGGGCTAACTGCGGCTTGATGAGTGTCATTCTCTCGGCAGTTGGAGTTATAGCAGAGGTTTGTCTAAGCGTCCCCAGACTTGTTTCTCTACATATAACTGCACTCTGAAGGTCTGGAGGTGAAGTGAAACAAATCTCGATGGGAATCGTAGCAGGTACGATTCTGCAGAACATCATGAGCGACGAGCATAAGAGCTTTCTGTACAAGTGGGCTCGGGCTCAGGGGCTGACTTGACATCAGCTGTCAAACGCACTGGTCACATCAGGTGACTTAGCACAGTGGTGCTACTCAGGTCTGGCTCAGACCTCACTGGACACACGGAAACTTTACACACACCCGTGGTACATGCGGTACAACATGGCTTAAACTAGCAAATGATGCTTTTCTGTGCACAAAACTGACACTAAGACATATACTAAAATGTGAGAACACTGACTGAGAGGAATTAATTAACACGACATATATCTTCTCTCAGTCTTCTCGACAATACTGAAATAATTACTGAACACTCGATGGTGACATCATGTGATGTCAGGCGTGATGTCGCGAGGTGACGTCAGCAGCACTGTGACATCAGCAGACATCTCGAGGTGACGTCAGGCAGACATCGTGAAGTCATGAAGTCGGGCAGCATCGTCGGTGACGTCAATGTGATGTGGGCAGCAGACCACAGCATGTGGCCTGGGACACCTGGTAACTCACGTGGCCTGTAGATCCACGTGACATCGTCCACACCCCTGTGGCGTCGGGATCCACGTGGCATCGTGATCTACGTGGCATACTGATCCACGTAGCTTCAAGTGGCCTCGGGCACTCGGATACACAGCTCTGGCAATGAATTCACACGAAAAACAGCAGAAAACACAGCAGAGGGAGTGGGCAGTGGTGAGTGTATGGTAGTGTGGTGGCGAGGAGCGTGGGTGAGTGTATGGCAAGGGAGCATGTGGCCACTTCCTCCTCTCCCACCCACAAACACGTGGAGAAGCTCACACTGGATGCAGAAATCACCACAAAACTCACCTCTGGCTTGCTGAAACAGCTGTGCTGAGCTGAACAACAGCAACATACAAGTGATGCTGAATACGTGACTTGAGAAACAGCGTGGGACGCTGTAGCATGGGGTCACTGGGACGCCACTTACAATTCTCGAAGAAATTCGGTAAATTTCGGCTGGATCCTGCTTGTACCTGTGTCTGGATGCTGAAACGTGCAGACACGACATCAGGATAACTCGTTGAGAGACGGATGCTTCTTGCATAGGGTAATGAAGTGAAGATGAACTTCATCCCATCATTCCTCTCTCTGGGCAAACACAACTGCTGCGACCACTACTTCCCACCATTTATAACCAATTTGTTTGGTGTTCTGGTAGCAGGCGTGTGAATGATAGACGTCTTCGGAAGCTTCTTACTTTATTGTTAAGTCGTGGTGGGTACACAAGCTTGTGTGTTGTGCCCATGGCCCGGGTAGGCCATGCCCATGAGGGAGAGAGGAGTGGACAATTCTTGACTGAGCAATGGGTGTCGCCAGAGTGAGAGTGTGGCAAGGGCAGGCAGGCTGGCGTGCCCACCGAGAGGCCTGGCTACAGAGGGCAGCACCTTAGTGCTGCGAAATATGAACTAAGCTGGCAGACAGCATGGGCTGTCTGTGCAGACAGTACAGGCTGTCTACACAAACACACACTCACACACACACACACACACACATACATACACACACACACACACACACACACACACACACACACACATACACATACACACACACACAGGTATAATAAACCTCATGGAGCGGAAGAATGACCCAGCAGCGGCCAGTGAAGACGCAGAGCCACGAGCTGTAAATCGACCCCTGCAACCACAACTAGGTGAGTACACACACCTGAAGCAGTATCGTTAATTTTTTTTTTTTTTTTTTTTTTTTAACATCATAGCCACTCTCATGTGATTGAACACATTATCAATATTAAACATTACACACATTCCTTCTCTCATGCACTTATCACTCACCCAGAAACATGCATGCCGAACCAACATCTTTCGTTTGGCAAGCCCGTATGGTACCCCCCCCTTCTTATCGAATGCTTTACACAACAATCTAAACCCACTTCGCCCCCCCCTCACAACTCTAGCAACTCCCCAACAGTGATGGACCTGTAACCCTCAGTGAAATCTCCCTCCCATCTCCTCCCATAAATTTCCCGATTCCTATTCATTGTCCTACAAAAAATCCTCGCTAAAACTCGTTTCCTCGTCTCCCCATTATCCACCCCTCTCATTCCCCTCGATATGTACACGAAATCCACCATTATATAAGCTACTCCCCGTGCTACACTCTCCCCCACCCCCCTATATCAAGACTTAGCACTCTCAACACCGACACCCCAGTTCCTCCTATCCTCCTGACCACTTTCCCCAACCATTCCCTCACACTCCCCAAATAATCACAAAAGTATACCACGTGATAGGCTGTCTCCAACTCCCCACATAACCAACACCAACCCTCCTCTACGACTCGTCTATTTCTGAGGACTGATCCAGTAGGTAGAATCCCGTGTAAAAATTTAAACATGATCTCTCGCACCCTGGGCCCTAGCTTTAGTTTACCGAACAGACTCCATATAGCGCCCCATGCATACATCGGGAACAGCCCCTCAACTGGGGCCGTCTCCTCTACCCTCAATATTCGATATAAATCCCTCACCTTTAATTTCTCTGGCTCGTGCGCCCACAAAAGTGCCCTCAACAAAATCTCACACTCCCTCCATTCCCCACCTCCATACATTCTCCTCAAAATAACATGCAACCTTTGCATGCATGTCCCTCTCTGTCCCCCTAGTCTTTTCCACTCCCACCTGACGAAAATGCATTTCACCCTCCTTCCCAGGTCCAACAAACCTAAACCTCCCTTCCTCACCGGCAAAGTTACCACCTCCCTCTTCATCCATTCACATCCTGAGCCCCATAAGAACCTAAACACACTTCTAAGGATACGAGTAATCTCAGCCCTCAGCAATGGAAAAACTGCTGCTACATACCTTACCTTACTGTACAGCAATACATTAATAACAATCGCCCGTTGCAATAATGTTAAGTGATAAGGCCGTAATATCCCCAACCGATGTTCCACGCGTTCCACCATTCTCAATGAATTCGCCTCCCTAGCCTCCCGTATGGTCGCCCCATACAAAATGCCACATATTAATAACTGCCCTTCCTGCCTTCTCACCATGTCGCAGTCCCAATCAACTCTGTCTCTCCACGCCCCCAGCCCCATGATCTTTGTTTTCTCAACGTTTACCTTCATACCTGTCGCCCCTCCAAACATGCCAACCACCCCTCCCAGCTCTCTCAATCTTGTTCCCCTCCGGACTAGGAGTGTCGTGTCATCCACGTATCCTTCCACATGATGCCTAATCAAGCCCTCCCTCGACCCCTCCCCCCCAACACTCTGGTCTCAACCAAAACCTATAAAATGGATCTTGCACAATGAAAATAATAATGTGATAGTGGGAAACCCCTGCCTCAAGCCCTTTCCATGTTCACCACACCCCCCACACGTCCTTTGATCTAAATTTCTCGCTTTTGCCCCTTTATACAACGTTTCAACCCACCCCAAAAATCTCTCCCCAAAACCTTGTTTGCTAAGGATCTGTCTTAGCCCTCCCTTTCCACCCGATCATAAGCACCCTGCCAATCAGTCGCCACAATACCCCCTCCTTCCTGCGCCCCCTAAAAACTCTCAACAAACCCCTTCAGGATTCCGTGCCCCATGCCATCGACCGTCCTGGCAACTTTTAGTTGACCTTTTGAAACTACACGTCCCACTACCTTTTTAAACCTATTCCCCAAAATCTTCACGAACAATTTATAGTCCGCACACATGAGAGTAATCGCCCTGTAATCCTTAAGTGTACTCTGCACCTTACCCTTAGGCACAACCCCAAACGACCCTGTACTTTGCGTCTCCCCCAGTTCTCCCCCGCTTTCATTCTATTGAACAGCGTTACTAAAAAAAAACCCCTTTAAAAGATCCCAATGTTTTAAGTAAAAGTCACTTGGTAGTCCATCAATACCTGGTGCTTTGCCCCTGCACATATCTACAAGCGCTCTCCATATCTCCCCCTCTTCAATCTCACCACCCAAAGCTTCCCTGTCCTTTCTCCCCAGAGCTACAGGCTCTACAGCACACACCCCATCAAGATCCTCCCTATTAACTCCTTTACTTTTCCAATATTGCCCATACCAAGCATCCGCGAGCATACTCATCCCCTCCGTTGTTTTTAACACCTGCCCCTCCCTAAAACCTTTAACCTCAGAGTGCACTTCCAAATCTGCTATTGTGGTCGCTGTCCTCCTCTGCTGTTGTCTTCACAACACACATGCCGATGGTTTGTCCCCCCAAAGCACTTCCTCCACACATGCCTGCACCCACAACGCATGAAATCTCTCCTCCTGCACCTCTCTTAACCTGCTCTTCAGATCATCTATTGCCTCTGTTTGGAATACCCCTCCCACCCCTCCTTGCTCATGATAGATTCCTATTCTACTTTCCAAATAATTTGTTAATCCATACTTTAGTCGATTTATATGCTTCTCCTCACCCACGTAAAACCTACGAATCCTCTCCTTGGCCACACTGTCCCACCACCGTACAACATTATCAACCCTTTTTGCCTCCTCACTTAGCTTCCTCCACAACGAAGCAAACCCCACCTCCACTTCCTCATCCTCAAGGAGTCACGTGTTTAATTTCCAGTAGCTTTCAAACCGTTTCACTAACGAGTCCCATGCCACCCCCACCACCACTGCCCTGTGATCTGAATAAATTGCTTCTATAGTATTAAAAGACTCTACTGAAACCCCTTGCGTTATATAGATTCTATCCAGTCTAGCTGCGTATTCCCTCCTTACATACGTATGGTGTACTTCACCTATTCCCCCCCAAAATGCATCTCGTACTCCAATATCTCTACACAGATCTCGCAACACGTTTGAAAAATATCCCACCCCCACTGGCGTCACATCAAATCTCCGAATTATACAATTCCAATCTCCCCCAATCAATGCAACCCTGGGCAGCGCTCTCAAGAAATACACCAGATCATCCCTTACAAATGCCGATTTTACCCTCACATCGTTCTCCGCCGGAGCATACACTCCAACAAAGGACACGCGTTCACGCATCCACCACCCGTCCACTCTCATTATTCTTCCCTCACCCCCCCCCTCAAACCTTTGCAAAACAAACGGGCTTGCCTCACGGATTAAAACACCTACTCCGCCTTTTAAACGTGTCGTTCGCATTACAAAAGCCCTATATCCACTTCCAGCAATTTTCCTACTTTCAAGTTATGCTCTTGTATAAAGGCAACATCCACCTTGTAACGATACAGCAGTCCTCGCAACCATACACACTTACCACTATTACATAAACCATTAACATTAATTGTCATACACCTTAGGCCTGCTTACGTTTTCCACCCCCTTTTCCCCACCTCATTTTTCCGCTGTCCAGTAGCCTCATACACACCGTCCTTGGCACTCACCCCATCCCCTCCACTCCTAACCCCTTGCTGGCGTTTCTTTTTCTCTTTGCCTCTACACACACCTTCAATCCCCGCCGTTTTTACTGGCCTTTGTGCTGGAGTGAGGACGTCATCCGAGTCAGACGTGACAGCTGCCCGCTTCCTCGACACTTCCTCTTCCACCATGCTTGTCTCCAGACCTTCCTCTTTGTGCACCTCCACCTTCTCACTACTTGGCAAAGCCGACATTTCATTCCTTCCTCCAGACCCGCATGCTTCCCCTTGTCCCTGTACCTGGTCTCCCGTCGTTACCTCTGTCAAGATTTCCTCCGATTTAGGGAACATCTCCTGCAAAACTGTCTCAAGCACTACGTCAATGTCTACGTCATTCGTTACGTCCTTGTCCGCCTTGTGCATCACATCCTCTGCAAACGCACTCAATTGCTGTACTGCACCCTCATGCTCCACCTCACGTTGCATGTCCTCCAATTCCTCACTCCACAACCGACCATGCCTACGTCCATCCTGGCGGTTCTGATCAGTCACTGTAGGTCCTCGCCTCGAAATGTCACTCCTTGGTATTTCCTGGCCCGTCCTCCGCCTCACACATTCAGCCGCTATGTGATCATAACCATCACACAGTCTACAAGTTCTACGTTGGCCAGCGTAAGTTACAAGTATTTGTGTCCTAAATTCCTCTAAGAACACATACGAAGGTATTGGTTGCCTCAGAGTCATCTTGAGGCTAAAACTACCTTCTGGATAACCCTCATAAGCCCCTGTCGTCCACTTGCCTTGTTTAGCTACGTGTACAGTTCCAAACTTCCCAAACACACTACGTAGGTCAGCTTCATTTGCCTCGAAAGGCACATTACGTAACTTTACATACGTAAATTGACTCGAAACATCGACCATCTTTACCAGGATGCCCTCATTAACCTCGATAGCAACATCCTGATAATGATCAAGTAGATCCTCATACACCTGTGATGACAGCAGTTTCACGAACATTCTTTTTTTTTTTTTTTTTTTTTTTTTTATTCGCCGGTATTCTCCCGGCCCGGGTCTTTTCCAAGTAGTGGTGACCCGGCCTTGGCTCCCTATCTGGGGAGTGTCTCGAGACTTAAGTCTCCCATGGGAGGAGGTACAAGTACCTCCTCATCTTTGGGACCAAGTGTCCCCAGGCCTAGCCACAGTCCCCGCCCTCACGGGGCTCGTAGGGAGATGCTAGGCCTCTGATCTGCCATCTACCCCGCCTCAAAGGGGCTCGTGGGGATGGCAGTCTTATGAGCTGCAGATGGTAGCAAGCTCAGGCCGTTTCGAACATTCGGTAGTTTCCATTAAAGGCTACACCGTAAAGGTGGCAATCCTCAATCCCATATGTCTCTCGAATAATCAGAGGCAACAACGTCAACGCCGAATCTTGATTAATTGTACCTCTCAGTAATTCTATGCCAACAGTGTTAATTCTGCGTCGCACCCCAACCACCCAATGAAAAGCAGGGGTGTCACTAGCACGTTAAGAGACCATACAATAAGTGTCAGGGGCCCGAGACTGTTCAACTGCCTCCCAGCACACATAAGGGGGATTACCAACAGACCCCTGGCAGTCTTCAAGCTGGCACTGGACAAGCACCTAAAGTCAGTTCCTGATCAGCCGGGCTGTGGCTCGTACGTTGGTTTGCGTGCAGCCAGCAGCAACAGCCTGGTTGATCAGGCGCTGATCCACCAGGAGGCCTGGTCACAGACCGGGCCGCGGGGGCGTTGACCCCCGAAACTCTCTCCAGGTAAACTCCAGGTAAACCATTGTGACAGCCTGGCTAACACTTGCGCCTGTCGGAGAGGAGTAGCAAACGTCCACCCTCACCGGCAGCTGGGCGAGGAAATGTTATCGTTAATTAGTGCTCCCAGATTTAGCGTTCTAGTAACTGTCCTACGACATTATTAGCGGTCACCGTAAGTGAGTGAATCAGAGAACATACCTACAAGACTCTAACAACTTTCTAGAGTGTAAATAATGTGATAATATCAAGAATTTTGCAATTTAAATATAATTTCGGGTGTTACTGGAAGGTGTGTCAGGGAGCCTAGAAATTACCTGGTCAATGTTGACACAAATAACGATAAAAAACACTTAATGGGTTAAGGTTGTGACCTTAAATAGAAATTAATGCAAATATCTGGTTGTTTATGGGCAGCAGTAGAGTGATAAGATCATAAATAATACAGAAAATAATATAAACAAAATTGTCGAAATTCCCAGTTGTTGTGACTGGTTAATATCAGGTTATGATTATGACAGTAATACTAAAGAACAAAGAATGAATACCAAGTTGTTAAGGAAAAGTAACACTTGAATGTATTATAAAAACTACTGAGGTATAAACTGACGGAGTTTATAATGACATCTCCAAGAGCCGCCATTTGTAGAGACGACGTCACTTGCCTGTGTTTGGGAGTGATTTTGGTTGGTATTTAAAGTGTCAGTGTCTGGCCCTGATGGGTGTATGCTATACCATCACTCTCTCCATAATTCTGAGTGCCAGGTGATAGATAGGTGTTGCCCCGATGATGTTTAGTTATTTAAAAAGCTTCTGATGTTTAGCGTAGTGACCCCTAGTGATGGCGAGAATGTAAACATACACACACATACACACACACATACACACACACATACACACACACATACACACACATACTCACACACATATACGCACACACACACACACACACACACGCACACAAACGCACACGTGTACACCAGTATCACAGAAGTATATATTAGTATATATTAATGAGTAATAAAGTGAAAAATAATTGTATAATCTTCAAAAGAGTAGTGTAGCCTAAAATTGACCACTCCGCCTCTTTTTTCAAAGACAGAGACAAGCACGTAAATAAACACACACACACACACACACAGTAGCGGTCAGTGAAGAGGCGGGGCCAGGAGCTGAGTCTCGCCCCCTGCAACCACAAATAGGTGAGTAAAAATGGGGGAGTACAGGAGCTGTGAATCGACCCCTGCAACCACAAATAGGTGAGTACACACACACACACACGCACACACACACACATACACACACACACACACATACACACATACACACACATACACACACATACACAGAGCACAATGCAGCAAATGGTCGTCTGGCGAACATAAGAATACCGTTTTGACATTTAAGGAGTCATTCAAGACTCTGTACACCGAGTACGTCAGGTCCATACTGGAGTATACAGCACCAGTTTGGAACCCACATCTGGTCAAGCACGTCAAGAAATTGGAGAAAGTGTAAAGGTTTGCAACAAGACTAGTCCCGGGGCTATGGGGTATGTCCTACGAGGAGATATTACGGGAAATCAACCTGATAACACTGGAAGACAGGATGGCTAAGGGAGATATGATAACAACATACAAAATACTGAGAGGAATTGACAAAGTGGATAGGAAAAAAAAAATGCTCCAGAGATTGGACACAGCAACAAAGGGTCACAAGTGGAAGTAGAAAAGCTCAGACGAGTCACAGGGATATTCGAGTTGTCAGGAAGTGGAACCATATGGAGAGTGATGTAGTGGAGGCAGGATCCATACATAGCTTTAAGAAGAAGTACGATAAGGCTCATGGAGCAGGGAGAGAGTGGAGCTAGTAGCGATCAGCGAAGAGGCGGGGCCAGGAGCTGTGAATCGACCCCTGCAACCACAAATAGGTGAGTACACACACTACTACTACTGATCCTACTAATATCTCTCTCTCTCTCTCTCTCTCTCTCTCAAATATCTCCATTTCTTCTTATCAGTTTCTCACAAATTTTCCGAAAGTCAATAAATTAGGTCAGTATGAGGTGCTCTGGCCAACCCTGCATGATGACGCCAAGAAATCTTCCACTCTTGTTGTTGACCTCTCTTGTATAGGGTAGCAACGAGCGCTGGCTCACAAACTTCAGAATCTCAAGTCAACACATTCCCTCTTCTGCCCGACACAAGTAAAAACATCGCAGTTCTTCCTGGCAATATCTTCCACCCTTCAGCAACTTTCGAAATGTGTCGCAGCACGATTCATTACACAAAATAACCAACAAACTATTAATGTGAAAGAATTTCGAGCGTGTGAGCCAATTCTGATGAATCCAATTTTGATGAAGCCAGAGTGTCGTGTCTCCCAGGCGAACTGGACATCACAATGTCGGAGGATCATGTGACAATAATCCTGAATGAAAGCTGTATTGAACAGGGGATTATACTGACTGGGAGGCTCATACAAGCATCAACACAAGCATTATGCTACTTGGAAGGTTCATACAAGCAGTAGTTGTAGATTATGCTACATGGAAGGCTCATACAAGCATCAACACGAGCATTATGCTACTTGGAAGGTTCATACAAGCAGCAACACAAGCATTATGCTACTTGGAAGGTTCATACAAGCATCAACACAAGCATTATGCTACTTGGAAGGTTCATACAAGCATCAACACAAGCATTATGCTACTCGGAAGATTCATACAAGCATCAACACAAGCATTATGCTACTTGGAAGGTTCATACAAGCAGCAACACAAGCATTATGCTACTTGGAAGGTTCATACAAGCAGCAACACAAGCATTATGCTACTTTGAAGGTTCATACAAGCAGCAACACAAGCATTATGCTACTTGGAAGGTTCATACAAGCATCAACACAAGCATTATGCTACCTGGAAGGTTCATACAAGCAGCAACACAAGCATTATGCTACATGGAAGGTTCATACAAGCATCAACACAAGCATTATGCTACTTGGAAGGTTCATACAAGCAGCAACACAAGCACTATGCTGCCTGGAAGGTTCATACAAACAGCAACACAAGCATTATGCTACATGGAAGGCTCATACAAGCATCAACACAAGCATTATGCTACTTGGAAGGTTCATACAAGCAGCAACACAAGCATTATGCTACCTGGAAGGTTCATACAAGCAGCAACACAAGCATTATGCTACCTGGAAGGTTCATACAAGCATCAACACAAGCATTATGCTACATGGAAGGCTCATACAATCATCAACACAAGCATTATGCTGTCTATAAGGTTCATGCAATCCTTACCGATATCATTATGCTGACTCAGAGGTTCAAACAAGCAGTAGAAGCAGCATAATGCTGTCTATGAGGTTCAAGCTAGCAGTAGCAGCATAACGCTGTGAGATTCATGCAAGCAGCAACACAAGCATTATGCTGTCTGTGAGGTTTAAACAAGAAGTAGAGATATCATTATGCTGTCTGTGAGATTTAAACAAGAAGTAGAGATAGCATTATGCTGTCTGTGAGATTTAAACAAGAAGTAGAGATATCATTATGCTGTCTGTGAGATTTAAACAAGAAGTAGAGATAGCATTATGCTGTCTGGGAAGTTCATACAAGTAGAGATAGCATTATGCTGTCTGGGAGGTTCATACAAGTAAAGATAGCATTATGCTGTCCGTGAGGTTTAAACAAGAAGTAGAGATAGCATTATGCTGTCTGGGAGGTTCATACAACGAGTAGTAGTAGCAGTAATGACATTATTCTGTACTAAGGTAGGCAGGAAACAAGAACGGGAAGGAAAAAACGAATATTTTTCGCTTAAAACGATTTATCACTGGAGCTGTCATAGCTCTCCCCAACTAGCGCTGACGTTGGTGGACTGTATGGGTCAGAAAATGATCCCTAAACCAGCCGGGTTTCCTGTATAATGGAAAAATTTTGATCTTATTTTAGATGTTTACATATGCAGTTTAACGACTCTGGTATTTCGATAGCTCAAATAACCACAGGATTTAGTTTACAGACCCACGAAATCACAATGACACGATTGTAAACAAAATATACCACGGGTGGGGTTAGAACCTGCGATCAGAGAGGTCATAGTGGTACCTATGGTAATCTTCCTATGGTGTAGAAATATACCTAGATGGATGAATCTTACTGAAGCTAGCTGGTCCAGTGGCTAACACGACGGTCCGGAGTTTTGAGACTCTCTGACCGTG